ATCTAAGCAAGGACGACGGGCGGCATTGCGCGTGGGGATTTACGGTGTGTGCCCCTCAACATAGAGAAAGAAGTTGCTCTGTAAGATGACAGACCAAGATGCAAATGAGAAACTTAAGGATAACTTAGAGAATCTTGATATCGATAGTTATCATCGGCGGACAACGGGTTTACGGTATGTGTTCGTTGTTCTCTCTAAGGATGAATGAGTCTTCAACCGTTGGCCAGCGGCGCGACTACCAACTAGTGATAATGATTGAATGGTCTGAAGTTGTTGAGCTGTCCTCGGACAACGGGCCTTTCCCAATGCAGGGTCGAGTTGTGTACTCGTTAACTCCCACTTCGCTGACGGACCAGGACAATGTTGCGAGATGTTGATGCATCACACATCACTTCCATACTTATCTCACTACGGGCTCTGGGTTTTCAGAAGGCCTCTGACAGAACGGCGTTCCGATCGAACTGACAGGAGTTTTGATGTTCCGTGTGTCATCGCTCGTGCGGAGGCGCTCCGGCGGCTTTCGAAGGCCTGGGGATGGGACTCGCCAGGATACATTGCACGATATGCAGGGATACTTGGGTGCGTCTTTGGGATTACTTGTGATGTCGCCGTTGAGGCGTTCTGACCCCGTTCTCAGCCCATCAATGGAATCCAGAGAAACCTAGCTACGCGATGCTTGGGGGGGATGAAAATAGGCCAAGTTTTGCGACCGAGGCGCCGCTGCTCCAAAAGTGTGTACGTCCATTGTTCGACTACAGCCTGGCGGTAGCGTCTCGTAAAGCTGGAAGCTGATGGATTCTCCATTCCACGCAGAACGCCATTCAGTTTGCTCTCGACTCGTATTACTGATCCTCCGCTTGGGTACAGCCTGTCCAACGGAAATCCCAGTTTCAATCCTTCACACACCATGTCAGGCATGCCGTGATCGAAGAAAGAACAACAATGGTGTTAAGTTCTGTACCTTCCATCGGCTTTCTGTGATGTTTTATATTTAATTCTCCCCCTCAGATCGACTGAAGCAGAAGATGTTACAAGTTACCCTGATCCTGGCATGTCGCAGGCCTCGACAATGACGTGAATATTAGTCGGCCCACGGCGAACTCTAAAGATATCCTGAGTTTTGGAAGGGACTAGGCCGAGGACAACGTCACATCGTACGGTAGCCTTGGGCATTCCTTATGGACCTCTGTAACAAAGCACCATCATATGACGATGCTCTGAGCATCTTCCCATCATACGACCGCTCTCGAAGAACACCGCGTTGTTACCCATCCCCTGAAGTTGGCGCCGACTTGATTGTAATGCAACTCATCCTCGGTTCGTCGTCTACTCTGATACACAAAAAGGTTAATTGCTGTTTATTCATTTTTATTCGCCGACCAGGACCCGCGTTCTACAAAAATGCGAAGCAGGGTTAAGGAAATATCAGAAGGAATCAAGGGGCTTCGCTTTAAATGTGATGCCTCTGAATGCTTGCAAGTTCGCGGGCTCTCAAATCTTTGAAGTCTCAACTCCGCCTCCCGCCTGCTCTGATGCTGTCTAGCTTCACGATGATTCCTGCAACGAACTAAGCTGTTTAAAGTATGCCAGGGCCCAAGGAACGCTGCCACGTCGCTCGCGCCGCCAGCCGTGTACAGCTCAAGTACAGCTTGCAGGCATTTTACGTGTCGCGCGCTCTGTGTATCAAGCTCTCGTCATCAGCCTAACGCCGACGCACTCTCCTGGCCTCCTTCTGACAGAGCCATCGGACTGTCATGCATTTATGTGTTATCTTCCGGCCTGCTAATCCCAGCCTCTCGAGAATCTTTGTCTGTGGCACAGTAGGATCGCAAACCCTTCTCAGAGCCCGAAGCATGGATGATACGGCTATGGCTGTAAACCTCGTGCCTCATCTTGCCATAGAAGTGTTCGGTCGATCTCAGACCACTGTGCGGCGGGAGGATTGCAATGTTTAGTGTTTGGACAACCATGAGACAGGAATCTAGCCTCTGGAGAGGCTCTTGGACGCTTTCTTTGGCTAGGCTCCTTATTTTTACGTGCTCATACCGGTTGTGTACCGGGAACGCTTCACAAGGAAGGGTATTCGTATCGCCTTTCACACTATCTTTTCAAATTGATGTCTGCGCCATGGGAAAGACTCGGTTTTCACCGACAGAACCGACAGTGTGCTTCGAAGTGGGAAGTGGTGGAGGTATGACCGTTGATATTTCCTCGTTTGCTTAAGATGATTAACTTAGGCTTCGTAGCAAATCCTCCGTTTGTATCTTTCAATTGATATTAGGCGGAAGGTCGCCCAAATTGTAGGATGTCATCAAGTGGCACTATTTATAAAGACCTTCAGGTTGTGTCCATATGAAATATCTTCTTTGTACGGCTCTGGTAAGGTGAGCTTTCATGCCGTCTACCGCTGCTCTGAGATCGGTCGTTTCTTCATAGCTAGATCCCCCTCCATCTCCTTTCGCTCAAGCTTGTCTATATCAGATATGATGGCACGAAACTGCAGTCAAGTCACAGAGGACGTGATACTAGAAGTTGCAAAACGACGTCGCGCTGATCCCCGTGGGTCCGTGGGTAGCAATTGAGATCCCCAGTCTTTTCTTGTGCATCCCACCCCGAAGAGACTCAGGCAGTGCCTCGAATGGCCGTTATCTGCTGATAGGTCCTGAATAAAGAGGTTCCTGTAAGCTCCATTTTCTGAATTGTGAATGTCGCATGAGCACTTAGACTGTCACGTTCAGAGCAACGTCGGATGCCGGAACGACCTGCCGATGGTTGCGTCTTCGACGCCTTATTTCTAGTCACTCGAGGGACCACTGTTCGTCGAGCCTTGAGCTCAATGAAGTCTGGACGAGCGGTCCATGCCTGGATGGCCGCATTAGTTAATGAAATGGCTAGATGGATGACATATTCGGTATGTCTTTCTTGCCAAAAAAAAATCACCGCATTATTAACCATACAAGATCAGACTGGCGAGAGGATTCGACTCCGTCACCTCCACCGACCAGCGGCTTTCATCGTCAGAACGCCCGGGAGAGTTTGCGCCTCCTGTAGAATCGAAACAGATCAGCCACTCGTCCTAGAAGACCTCTTGATTCACCCTCTGTCTGAGAACATCTGACACCGCACTCTCCGCTCTACCACCTTCAGAGGTACGATTTGCCCTGATCAAATAGTTTGATTGTTACCTGGGCCCAGGAGAAGAGCTACCTACGTTCGTCCAGCAGATATCTGCGAGACTTCATGGACTGCATCTCTGATTGCAGGGGTACCTTGAACGGGATGTTAATTCCCTCATCGAAGGAGGTGTGGCATTCGTCACTGGCGTCGGATTTCGAAATACCTATCATCTGGAATGCGATACCGGAAGATCATTCACGGAACTTCTACCTCGGCGGTGTCATATGGGTTGCATTCTTCTCAACGATCTGGTGAAGACAATACCGGACGCGCGTTGGGGCCCCGCACATACCTGCGCATGATTCTTCTTTCTGTCTTTATTTCCCCATTTCTATGATTATTTACTCGGGGAACGGCTCTTCTCCTTGAACCGTGGACAGCTGATACATCCCCGCGTTCGACATCTGGCCCTGAGAGAAAGGGTATGGCTACTCGAGTCTGGAAGCCATGGCGAGAAGCGAACATCGCGACTTGGAGCCCCGAAGCGACACCAAGGTCAGCCAATTACATTCAGAATGATTCTCGTTTTCGTAGCTGACACCCGAGCGTATGGGTAGCATTGACTTGTGCCCACTGGTGGATAAAGATAGGTACGGCGTCTGAGTTAAGTCGCCATCATTATTTTCTGACAAATGGAAAGAGCTTTAGGTGTCCCACTGCAATTGCCTTCGAAGAACTTCCAGTGGTAGCGGCAGTTTTGAGCCTTGATTAATGTTCTCCTTCTCCTGAACCTCCCTTCCTCGGCCGCCTTGCCCGTGACGAAACGTGGCATCGATTCATCACCAATGCCCCCGCATAAGTACAGAATCCGCTTACTTCTAATAAGAAGACTGACGTGGAGGAGCAGTGATCAGGAACAATTGCTGTTTTCGTCTTCGTCGTGTTTTGGAGAGGTTCGCGGGAGAAGCTCGCAAGCTTTGGATCATCTTGAGACCAGGCCCCTCGTATGCGCATTCTTTCATACCGGAATAGCACCATTCGCCCCAAGTCTCGACTCCTCTTGAGTGCAAAGCTGGGTGACCTGCGGACATTGGTCGCCCGTACCGTTTTATTGGACAACACTTGCCTTAACGAAATGTTAAATGGAAGAATCGAGAAATGTGATTTGGTTTACAAGCTCTCTTCCTTCTCTCCTTGCATACCACTTAGCGAACCGCGTCGAATGGCATGACAAGCAAACGGGTTGTTTGATACCGCCTAGTCTTGTCCATCATCGATACGCCCGCTTTGTGCCACTGTGCCACACTCTCAGACATTCAGACAGACACACTCTTTCAACGGGCTGATCACGATCTACTTCTTGCTCTCTTTCGGATCGGCACTGTCCATCAACGCGAAAAAAATCACTCTTATAGATGGCAGCTGGCCGGTGCTCTGACGACACTGCTCGCCAATACCCCGCTCGTGTTCTGGAATTTATTTCTGAGACCACACAGCACTACATGCTCGGATGACTGGACTCTCTGGAAAATATCGACTCAAGCTCTTAGGTGTAGCGAGAAAATACGATTTTCTTTTCCTAGCGCCGAACCAAGATTACATACTGCCGGCGCCACCGAAGTCGAATTAACTTTACAGTTTGAACGCGATCAGTCAACATATTTTGCGCCTTTAGGCATGGAAATTGTTCGTATATGCGCTCTTACGGGTGTATTTCCTTCGAAAGGGACGAGGGTTGGGTCGGGAAAGTCCCGGTTTGGAAAGTAGTTGTCCGTAAGTGGAATTGTGATTTATATTTCACAGAAGCTGTCAACCCCGACACGCTATAAAATTGTAAATTTTGGCCAGACGCTCTTTACTCCTGACCACCACCATCTCCCGCAATGGTTCTCACCACCGATGCTCAGCAGCTGCTCGCCGTCGATGGCGCCCCGCCTCGCTCCCGACAGCCCTCTGGTCTCCTGGGCTCCATTTGGGCCCCCCAGCCTCAGCCCTCGGACACAACCTGGCCGAAGACTCTTGACACCTTCTCCAAGGAAGCTGAACAGTACGGACGCGCGGCCCCTGGGGCTGTCTCGTCGTATCCAGCTATAACCCGCGAAGACGTTTTTAGCCTCCAACGGGTTCTGCCCAAGACCTCGCGCGACATCGGTGCCATCGGGGATGGCAGGAAGAAAAACAGCCCTGACTACGATGACTCTGTGAGCTTATTTTTTTTTCTTATCCGTCTCATCGATCAATTGATCATTCCTCGACCTTTAGCACGTCGAGCAGCTGCTTCGCACTCTGAACCTCAACTCTCCCGCTCCTTTTACCCACAAGCCGTCTTCGCTGACTTTGAAAGTCGAGACTTCTCCAAGCTCTCCTGACTTCTCACCAGCGTCTGTCTCGTCGGCACTTCTAACTCCCACCGATCTTTCTCCTGCAAGAGCTTTCGACGTAAAACTTCACTCTCCTTATGAACATGCCCACTCGGGCCATCCCTATATATCACAGCCTTCTTTGCTCTTCGAAAACAACTCACCTATAAAGTCTCATGAAGGCCTGCCTACGAACTCTCCTGCAGGCCGTGCGCCACTTACGCATCTGAATCATCCTCGCCTTCAGACCAACTTTCCCTTTTTCGAGCCTTTTGCAGAGCCACCAACCCCAGCGCCAGTTGCTCCTAACCCGAACGTCCACTCTTCGTCTCCGTCCGATCTCTCCAAATCTATCTACACTTCTCCGTTGCCTCGACGCGTCCCCGACCCTGTTCGCCTTGTGCCTATGGATTGGCGTCTGAATCACGTCCATCAGAACCAAACCCAGCATGCACTTCACCCCGAGTGGCGCCTTGCAGCAGAGAAGACCTCTGACTATATGCTAGCTGGAAATGGTGGCCATGACGAGCCCCTCAGGGCCTCTTTCGTGTATCAACAACCTCCTACCACACATTCGTTTCCCGCTTCACACGAAGTGAGTCGCCAGCCCTTTTTTTAATTGATAAATGCTTATATATGCGCCGTCTTTTCTAGCCTATCAATTTCCTCTCTTTGCTTCACCCGTCGTCGTCCCCTCCTTATCACGTCTTTGTGGCTCGCATCATCAAATCTTCGGATCAACAGGCTTCCATCTTCCTTCAACAAAAGCTCAAAGTCGCCGACATCGAAGAACGGGCCAAGATAGTAGATGCTATATGCGCTCGCGGTTTTGAGATGATGGCCCATCGGTATGAATCCAGCTTTTTTTTTTTGCTTTCCTCAGTGAATTTAGCTTCGGGAACTGGGCCGTCCAACGATGCTTGGAAGCAGCCTCGACCCCCGAGGAAAGAAGGAAGATCGTCTCGTGTATGAGGTACGTGTCTCTGCAATCCCTCAACCATGTGCTAGAAATGTCATCGAATAGAGGCCGCATAGTCGAGCTGGCGACTAACTGCTATGGCTGCCACGTTCTTCAAAAAGCGCTCGATTGCGAAGAAGACATCCGCCTCTTGATCGTGTCGGAGCTGCTCCTTGGAGACCCAGCACAGACCCTCGTTAATAAACACGCATCTCATGTCTGGAGCAAGGTAAGCGGCTTCGCATAGCTATCTCGCTGTTCGGGCTCATGATAATTATTAGATTATGGAGCTTTCTTGGACTCCTCCTGCTCCTCCAATCTTCGCTTAGTATGCCTCCTATTTCGGTTCACGGTTTTCCTTTGCCTGATACATTGCCTATTCTAGCGTCAATAAATCCCTCAAGGGCAAATGGGCATCGCTTGCCTGTCACGAAACGGGATCGCTTGTTGTACAGGTATGAACAACATCCCTCCTATCTCCTATCTCCTGATCTTATTCTCGTGTTTGCCCCTAGCATGCTTTCGAAAATCTTGAAGCCGATGCGAAGGACGGCATCGTAGACGAGCTTTTGAACCAAGGATTCGGTGTATTCAGCGAGGTAGCCAAGAGCCAGTGGGGATCTTATTGCATCCAACATAGTGAGCTTCCTACGACCCTCTACTATCCTTTCTGCGTCTCAATTGTTTCATTCTAGTCTTAGAGCACGGATCTGATAAGCACCGTCAAATGACTCTCGATCATCTGTTAGACGGTTTGCTTGAATTCGCGACCAACGAACAAGGTGCCAAGTCGGTTACCAAAGCCTTGAAGGAGGGCGGGATGGAAACCCTCGACAAAGTGGTTCGACGTATGTGCGAGCCGGCCAAAAGGTGCGAACATCAGTCCCTCTTAGTTTTCGACTGCTAACGTTTTGTTCCTGCAGCGCTCGTCGTGCCATGATCGTAGACTTGGCGCTGTCAGTCACTGGTAGCCAACTTATTGCCAGCGTGTTGCCAACGGTGAGACGGACCGACACGATGCCATACGGAGATGCTGACGCGCCTTGTAGGCTGACAAGGACCAACGTGCGCTACTCTATGAGTGCATCCGAGGCCACATCGTTACACTCAGAGGGTGTAAGACGGGTTCAAAAGTAATTTGGTTGTTGTAAGTCGATGAACTGTGATACCACTGGACAATCTTTGACTCTTCCTTGTTCTCAGTGATAGAATGGTATGTTCCACAAACATCTACGTTTGCGACGCGCTCTGATGCATTTTATCTCAGCGCGCTTATTACGGATATTAATGCCGTCTTTTCTCATGAGGTGGAACAGACCCGCCACAAAAGCTTCAAATCTCACCATAGTTCTCTTGGAAGTATCTCCTCGCCATTGATATCGGCAACATGCAACATATCTTTTTCATCACGGAGTCAGCAATGCATATTTTAGACAATCATCAAGATCCACCATACTCATCACTGCACACAATTCATTTCCAGCATGCACGAGCCCATCGCAATAGGATTATCTCAACATCGACATCCAACGTTATCGACACATTGTTTTATTTTTATCCCAGCAAGTATCCTTATGTTCTCCAAAAGACCTCTTCTATCCTACTTCATTTTTGTGCTTTCATACGCAACATTGTCCCTGAATTTCTTCTCGCATCCACCATTTGTTCCACCCCACATGCATATTCTCTCTCTGTCCGCATACATCCAAGGACTCGCTCGAGCGCTAGCACACTCTATCTCACATTCTTTTTGCATTACATGACGAAGAATAGCTTTGATCATCAGTTGTTTTTTCCAATACAATCGTTGTCTAATCCAGTTCAAGTGGTCGCCACTGAAATAGGCGCCCAACGACGGGCAAAGATATTGCACAGGTTTCACTATTCGGACCGGTGTGCCGCTTATAGACCGGAAATATCCGGTCTGATCATTGATCCATTTCGTGCAAAGATTTCTCGTCCTGTAACTCAGAAGACCCCAACAACGACGTTCCCTGCTCTCCACCTTTTCGCGGTATGAGAACCCCTAGAACAGGGGAACGTGGCGTAATCTCCAATAAATCCAGCAAACAGCCTACCAAGTCGCGAGCAGCAGCTAACGTTGCTGGATATGAAAAACGACAAGCTCGTAAAGTGAAATCTACCTCAGCTTCAGATTTATACGAGCATATCCAGGAGAAATCGCGGAGGTCTAGGGTTGGACTTGATTTGGATCGGGAAGAAGCTCTTGAATATGGTGTTGGACTTGATGGTGCGAATGAAGAGGAGCGAGAAGAGTTGAGGGCTAGGTTGATTGGGGAACATGTGGACGACGAGGAAATGCCAGCGAGGATGACGAAGAAATTGATAGCGAGGGTGCTTTTGAAGAGAGTGACGAGGAGCGATTTGCCGGATTCTTCTCGTCCAAGGTGCGCAAGTTGGTTCCTCCATCTGGAGATAGGGCCCTAATGTTTCCTTACAGAAAAAACCTAAATCTACAAAAAGGCAGAAGGGCAAAACTTCTGTACGTTTCGCCGAGGTTGATCTCAAGGAAGATGAGGACATGAGCTCTGTAGCCGAAGGCAAGCGGAGTGAGACAGCGACGAAGATGACGAAGAAGGGGAGGAAGGGGACGACGACGAGTTTATCGACCTCCTGGATGTGCTAGACGGCAAGGGTGACATCGACATGGGAAGTGACGACGAGAAGATGCCTTCGAGAACATCGGATGCCTCTTCTTCCCGTCCTTCTGTCGGAGAAGAAGGCCAAGAAAACGGAGACGAAGACGGTTCGGAGAAGGGCAGCGATGATGAGGATGAGGATGAGGATGAAGACGAGAACATGTCATTTGCCCTTCAGATCACGACGACGCCCCAGAAGCGTTGGATCAGCTGCAAAACTTTGTCTCAAACCTAGACGTTGCTACGAAGAAGCGCAAGGCACCAGAAGAGGAGGCTGTAGGAGACGTCTCAGAATCTCGAGTCTGGAAACGTCGGTTGATGAAGGAGAAAACAGAGGCAGGGGAAGAAAGTGAATTCCGAGTACAATCAACGGGTACGCTTTATTCAATGGATTCTCGATAATTGCGAAGGGCTCATGGCATTGTAGGAGCTAAACTCAACCTCGAGGACCTTCTTGCTCCTCTTGCCTCCCAGTTGTCTACCTTGCAGTCTCTCAAGAAGTCCACGAAAGTCTTGGCTTCGTCGAACAAGGCTAAGATACTATCTGCTCCTCTACCTCAACGAGCGCAGGACCGTCTAGATCGACAGGCAGCGTATGAACAGACGAAGCAAGAGGTGGATAAATGGTCGGAGACTATGAAACGCATTAAAGAGGTCCGCCGTCTGCAAATCTTTGAGGTCGTTTTATTCAACTGCTCCAACAGGCTGAACACCTAAGCTTCCCACTTCAAGCACAACCAACTGGTCGAATATCGAACCTCGAGCTGAATGCTAAGTTCAAGGTATTCTTTATGATTTTTTTTCTTATGATTGACTAACAAGATATCTGTCTAGCCAACAACCGAACTGGAGAGCGCCGTCGATTCCCTTCTAAAATCCGCCAATCTTCGCGAAGAAGATATCCACGAAACCGAAGAGTCGATGCTGAAGACGAACAATCTCTCAGTGGAGGAAGTCGCTGAGCGTCGGAACGAGCTGCGCAAAATGCGCGAGCTGATGTTTCGCGCAGAGATCAAGGCGAGGAGAGTGAGCAAAATTAAGAGCAAGACCTACCGTCGGCTGCGGCGGAAGGAGAAAGAACGCTTAGGCGAGAAAATTGACGAGCAAGAAGAGAGCGACTCAGAGGAGAGCAGGCTGAAGCGGGAGATGGAGCGAGCCAGGGAGAGGGCAACGTTGCGCCATAAGCACACGGGCAAGTGGGCGAAGAAGATGAAAGGCAGAGAAGATGTCGATGAAAATACGAGGAAGGATATCGAGGATATGCTAACAAGGGGCGAGAAGCTGCGCAGGCGGATACAGGGTGCTGCGAGTGACGAAAGCGGGGACGACGAAGATGAGGACGAAGAGGACGAGGACGATGGAGACGTGGAAGGTGCCATTGCTAAGATCAAGCAGAACGCATTTGACGAGCTGCAGAAGCTACAGGACGACGACGAAGACCCGGAAGATGGCAAGATGGGCAAGAGCGTGTTCGAGATGAAGTTCATGAAGGCCGCCATGGCTCGGCAGGCTGTAGCTGCAAACCGCGAAGTCGACGACTTCATCAAGGAGATGGGTGGGTACGCCGAGGGTGCCGACGACAGCGATGCTGAGGCAGCAGAGCTACGAGAGGCCGACCCCTCGAGTGGGGTCGTCGTTGCTCGAGCAGGAGGTCGGGTCGTATACCGACCTGGAGCCGCTGTAAGTAGCATCTTATTTCTTCTGGGTGAACTTCTTCGTTGAAACTACTATTTCTCATCTCAGACCCGTGGACCTCAAACTCGCGAACCAAGCTCGCCCAACCACCCCCGTCTGACACCTCTAGCGTAACCCTCCGTTCTACCGACCTCCTCTCACCTCCGCCTCCCTCTCCCACCGTCGTCAAACGTTCAGGGCTCTCTGCCCCTGCCCCATCCGCCGATGCATCCACCTCCACCTCCACTTCCACCTCTGCGCCTGAGCCAGTAAATCCGTGGCTAGTTCGACCCGATGACGACTCGTCCTCGGCGAAGGTGGCAAAGAAGGCCAACACCGTCATGGTGGGCAAGGACAGTAAAGCGACTGACAAGTCGAAGAACAAGCTGAAGAAGCAGACGCAGAAGCTGGAGGAGGAAAGGGAGAAGAAGAGAGACGATGCGGTCGTTGAGATCGATGTGGACGCAGTGTTGACGCTGCCTATGAGCTCGAACCTGGGTGGAGCTGGGCCGTCGAAGGCAAAGGCTGTTACGACGATTGTGCCGGCCTCTGGCCCGTCCGCGAAGAAGGCAGCCAAGGGCAAGCAGGCTGCCGCCCCTGCATCCCCTGGAATAGATGACGACGACGACGATTCAGACGCCAACAGCGAGCTCGACGCGCAGGAAAAGGCTCTCAACCTCAAGGGTAAAGGCACGGCTAACGGCCTGAAGGCCTTCGAGCAAAGAGACTTGGTGGCACTCGCTTTTGCGGGCGACAACGTCGTACAGGTGTGCATTTTTTTCCCTTTGTGACCTTTTGCTCACGCCTGTTTGCTGATGGCAATTTTCGACAAAATCATAGAGCTTTGAAGAGGCAAAACGTCGTGAAATCGCTTCTGATGCACCCAAGGAGGTTGACACGACGATACCAGGCTGGGTATGGTTCCCATCCCATCCTTTTTTTGACCATCTTTTCCCTGACCGCTTCTCGCTTTCTAGGGTTCATGGGGTGGCCAAGGCACAAACCGAGCTCCTCCTAAACCGCAGCGTATCAAGAAAATCGCAGGCATAGACCCTACGACTCGTGCTGACTACGGCAAGAAGCACGTCATTATCTCTGAAAAGCGGGATAAGAAGGCGGCCAAGTACCTGGTCAAGGACCTGCCGTATCCCTACACGAGCCAGGCGCAGTTCGAACGTGCGATGGAGCAACCTCTTGGGGTGGAGTGGAATACACGAGTTGGCTTCCAGCGCGCAACGTTGCCGAGGGTTGTCAAAAAGGTGTGTCATCCGGTGTTATTTTGCGTTGGGTGGGTCTGGTTGGGTGCTGATTAGGCATCTTCTTGCTTTCTAGCCTGGAATCATTATCGAGCCACTGGAGAAGGTTATCTAAGGGTGTTGAAGCCGTTCGCCGCTCTCTTCCGCCGTTTCCTTCTCTTTCGCTTCTGTTGTCGTTACCACCACATGTCCGTACTTCGTATCACCATGGTTCGTCAATCGTGTCCTAGTCCAGTCCGCCATCGACTTCAGGGAAGGGAGCCAGACCAGGAAGACAGGAAGAGGTATTGGCATATCCAGCATCAAGCCATTCCGAGTGTCATTAGAGCAAAAATACAGGTAGGAAACATACAGCGATATGAAAGGGTCCTGGTTAGCTGACAGCAACAGAAATAGCTCCATCAATGAGGTAGAGGTCTCCATTCAAGGCCTATACGTGCCAGGAAGTGAGCACATCGTAAGAAGGCGGCATGTTCAACCAAGGATTCACCTCTTTCTTTCCGATAATCTTGATACCATCCTCCAGCGTCACACGGCTCCATTCTGGCCCTTTACCGTCGTTCTTCGCGACCGGCGTGAATGTAAGGGATTTGCGGTTCAGGGCTGTCTTGTGACTATTCGAGTCGAAGGAGAGTGGGTATTCCTGTGGGAGAGATTCATCAGCAAATAGGGCACGAACCACGGAACCGGGACGTACGGGGACGACATGGGCCGATACCCAACGTTCGACGTTCCTCTTGGTTCGTTTCTCGTATTGCTCCTCTGTCATCTCAATTTCGACATCCAGTTGAGGACCTTCGTGTCTGACGATAGAGCCGAGAAAGGGTCAACTTCCCTTTCAATGGGAAAGACAATCGACATACGGTTTCCTCGCCAAAGCCATGACAGCCTTGTTCGTTGGCACAAAGAGAGTAATCTTCGAGTCTTTATCCGAGAAAAGCTGGCTGAGCTCTATTTCACGCGCATACGAGTAGAAGATGGACGCCGAAGGCTCGATGGTGAGCAGATCCGCAAGTGTAGGCTGCGGGGTCGTTTGGGGAACGTATGCTGGTCCCGGAGTGTCGAGGAAGACGGGGATCTGGTCCCCCATTGAGGCTTTCGCAGAAGAAAAGACTGGTACAAGGAGGAGTGAGATAGCAAGAGAGATGCGCATGACGGTCGAATGACGGTGGTGAAGCTTGGACGCTGTGGCGAGCACCACTTCCCGAATAAGAAATAAGATGACGTAAAGATCTCCCACGATTAGACCTAACCTTCCGACCGAAGTCACAGTTGTCTTTGAACCTTACCGTCATCCACGGCACACTTCGTTGGTCCGTCTTTCACTTCCTGGATTTGCTCTTCGTTGTGATACCTCTGTGTGTCTGCGATGCTTCGAGAATCCGAGTACCGTGGCGACTGCCGATTTTCAAAATAGTCCTATTCTCCATGAGTCCGACGAACGCTGATGTCAAGCTCCATCTTCCTAGGCCTCGTGGCCCCTCGGAGTGTTTAGTTGCACTTGTGAAATCTTCGAAAAGTGTTCGAGCTTAGCATGAAATGGAGCGCAGTTACCATCCAACCAGGCTCAAAACACATCTCGCGGAAGCCAGATGGTCCAGGAGGCTCATGACTGCGCCTGAGGGCCACCATTTGACGGTCGACCTCGCCAAGCTCAATGATTTCCCTGTCATATCCATCTCGACGGTGATCCCTCCTAGGCCGTACGCTCTCGTAATGCCCCCGGCGGGCTGAACGGACGGTCATGAGCTTTTTTCTATCAACCAAAGGCAACGCCTCCTACCAACCATCGCCCGCGTCGACCGACTATGGACCGGCAGGTTCTTGGTCTGATGCTCACTACGCCCTCCTCTCAGACGTCCTGCAAAATGTTACCGATTAGGCTAGGATTAGGCGAGCAGGTACTGCCTCCGTCTTCCAGAAAAGGAAGTGCAATTCACCATTCAATTCTGATGTTTCCTCGAAACCGTGGAAACGCACGTAGGAACGACTCTCGGACTCAGTTCGTCTAGAGCGCCACACTCTACGTGCCAAGGACACGCCATGGGCACCTTGCCTGACCCCAAATTCGAATTGGTGGGCGTAGGCGACCGGTGCTTTTCGAAGCTCCGAATATTTGCCATAGGGCAAAGTATTTAAGGACCTTGCATGCCACCCTCGAAACCCATTCCGTTCGTTCCCTTCAGTTCAGAGAACTTGTTTCGTTTACTTTGCGCGCTTCTTTCTTTTTGACCCGGTGTCTTCCTTATTCGAATTCGACCTTTCCCAGTCCGTTCCTCCTCGATTCAAAGCCACCATCCGCTCTCTTTCGCACCCACCTCCAAAGTTCAAAACATATTTCTCTTAATAATGAAGGCCAACTTCGGATTCATCGCCTTGATGGCTCTCTCTGCCGCGTCGCAGGTCTTCGGCCGCGAGCGTATCTTCGAGCGTGACGGCAACGCCGTGTATCTCCACCCCAGGCGGTTCGGCCAGGAGCAGCCCGCAGTCCTCGAGAAGATTCGCAATGCTTGCCCTGGTGAAGTTTGTGGCACCTTGGCCGGTCAGGCCATCACTCCTCTCCTCGCCGCTCAGCCTGAGTGCTCGCAGCAGGATTTGGCAGACGACATCATCGGTGAGTTTGGCGTCTTCACCCTCTATTTCCTCTATTTTTGATGTTATATTGTTGTAGATGCCAGCAAACAATTCGACGCTGCTACACAAGCCGCCATGGTTGCTGCTGCCATCGAATATCGCCAGGCTGAGAAGAACACCCCTCCTGTACGGTTCTCTTCGCGCATTCCGCCAGAATAGCACCATCTCATCATTGACTCCTGATAGGACTTCACGACCAACCCACCTACTCTGCGCAATTCCGTCTTCTGCCAGCAGGCGCCCAGGAACCCGGAGCTTATTGGGCTCGTTCAGGCCCAAGACCCCGCCAACGACCCCGACCTCTTCTTCGACCCCGCTCTCAGGGCCACCGTCGTCCGTGGCTCGCAAGCCAACACCGCTCCCTTCGCTGGATAAACTCGTGATGGGTGAATATCTTGTTCTTCGTCACTGCTTGCTTCGGATAGAACTGATGTAACACCTTTGCGTTATTGTCACTTGTAGTCGATGACGGGGATTATAATCAGCATGTCGTTTACGTTTGGGAACCACCATGAACACTAGGTACCGCAAACTAGACACGAACTGTACGATCGCGTATGCCCTGAGGACAGTGCGTAGAACAACGAACGTGCTTAATGGATGACCGTTCTCTCGATGATTCTCTTGTCCACTTGTCCAAGCCGAAGATGCCTTGTTTACCGCAGCTCTTATTTCTACTGGGGGACTTCGGAATGGAGTGCTCGTAATATCGTGTGTGTTCAAAAGCCATGGTAAATTTATCAAGCGTGATTCCTTAAAGCCATAACCATCACGAACAGGCGTTACGAATAGGCGGGATCTCATTGCTCCTATTGTTGAACAATGCAATGTCAACACATGTGTCCTAAACCTGAATCAAAGTATTCGCTGCTTGAATAATGCTTACGTCGATAGCACACTGCATCGCGAGCGTCCTGAGAGGGAATACCAGTGAACTTCTCTTTTTCCAGCATTGCCTCAAGTAAACTTCATGGATATCAGTCACATTTGCAAGAAGTATCATATAGGCACAACCGTATACTCGGCAGTTCTCTTCGGCGTTCTTACAAGGAAGGCACTCAGTTCTTCCACATGTTCATAAAAATTTGCCCAACAGTAATAGTCGCTTCGCAACAGATTCCGGGGAGTGGGATGGTTTCAAGAAGGAGCTCAGGACGAAGGAACAAGGAAAGAGCAATATTTCCGAGGTCAGAGAGTTAACCAAAATTGCTAAAGGTGCAATCGTCTGTATCTTCTTTATTCGCGTTCCTCAACACCTCGGGGGCAGAACTAAACACGAGTATGTCCGACCTCGCACTTGCTTGGGCGGCGAAAAACCCAAACACGTCGACGGTAATTCTAGGTGCCTCGAAGTCCGAGAAGATTACGGAAAACCTCAAGGCACTCGAACTCCTGCAGGAACTGACTCCGGAATTCATGCATACAGTTGAAAAGATTTTTTCCAAAGTGCACCAAGCACATGTTGGTTCTCTCTTCTCCTCTTGCTGGTGCTACCCAATGATTCAACCTGCTTGTTTTCAAACTCTAGCCTACGTACGGAAGGCCCTCGTTGGATAGATTTGGTCGTGTTTACGGATTCCAGAAAATATGAGAAGCAGGCGACCAGATTGTGAGGCAATTTATTTCTACTGTTTCTACTGTTTCTCGTCTCCCTGTAAGATATACAGTCGTGATCTTCTGTCCTCCGATAGCCACAGTTTGATCCAGGCCTAGTGGTCGCTAAGCCTGATTTCTATTTGGTGTTGCTTGTCTCTATGTAACCACGCTACGCCAGACAGACAATAAATCTGAATCCACACTCAAGCCATTGAATTCAAAATTGATATCAATGAATGCAGAATTGCTTACACGCCCCTTTGTTCCTCTTTGTCTCCTTTCTTTCGCTTATTTTTTTGCTCTCCATCTAACATCGGCTCCTGCGCGGTCCGCGCGGACAATCTTCGGTAAGTGGGTGCTTAATCATGATTAGTCAGTTACTTCCCACCTTTATCGATCGATGACGCGGACACGACAATCTAAGTATTCTCGACCTTGACCTTGTTGCGTCGCCACCGTTGGTGTTGTTAAGCCCGCGTGGCTACGACATGAGTCAGCCATTCCGGAATGCATGAGTAGCCGTCCGATATTGGTCGGTCTTTCCGACGCCGATTTCCTTCGGCTCGTCGCCAGGTGAGGGTATATAAGCAATCGCCTGGGATCCATCGAGCTTGAACCTTTTGCCCCCAAAGAACTCGACGATAACCAACATGACGACCCCTGTGCTGCAGACATGGCCCGTCCAGAGGGAGTTTGACGCTAAGAACATGCCTTTCCGTCGCCTGGGCCCTAGCGGACTTCGCGTTCCATTGTTTTCTCTGGGAGGGTGTAAGTTTGATATATCAACTTCGCGTCGGGCTATTCTGATCAAGGCGATAAGGGCTGACTTTAGGAGGTACTGTTATTGGCGATCCGGTCAAGGTAAATGCCTACCTTGACATTCGAGAGTCGGCGGATCGTAACTCGTGCCTCTCAGGAAATCATCAAGACCGCCTTCGAAAATGGGATCAACATGTTTGATACCGCTGAAGCGTACGCTGCTGGGAAGTCTGAGGAGGAGATGTGGGTTTTCACAAAGTTCGTTTACGGCACTGATACTGAGTGGGAACATCAGCGGTCGCGTTATCCAAGAACTGGGTCTTCGCCGCACAGACCTGGTGATCACGACGAAGCTCTTCTGGGGTCTTCGAAAGGGGCCCAACGATGGAGGTCTCTCACGCAAACAGTGAGTCTTACTAGTCCTGTGCCATTGGTTATTCTTAACAAGTTTTTCGCAAGCATTATCGAAGGAACTAGGGAGTCATTGGCCCGCATGGGCCTTGACTACGTTGATGTGATCTTCGCCCACAGGATGGACCACAACGGTGGGGTTTCTGGTCTCTCCAACTGCGAAATCTGATGACGTTCTGCAGTGGGCATGGAGGAGATTGTCCGGGCATTCAATTATGTTATCGACAAGGGCTGGGTACGTGAACGAGAGCGTTGATTTGACCACCAATTTACACTCCATGTAGGCTCTGTACTGGGCTACCTCGGAGTGGAGCGCTCAAGAAATCGAGGAAGCGTACCGTGAGTGAACATGTTCCCTAAGAAACCTTCTGTAGCATTAATAAACCTCTTCCGCCGATAGATGTTGCGAACAAGCTGGGTCTCGTCGGACCGATTGCTGAGCAATGCAAACACCAGTGCGTATAGCCTCGGGATTAAGGCTGCCAGGACTTTTACTCATTTGTTACTTGTGCAGTATGTTCCATCGTGAGCGACCAGAGAAAGAATATGCGTCAGTAGAATCTCCTTGATCTTCTTCCCGTAATTGACAGCCATATCTAGACCTTTGTACAAGAAGTACCATATCGGCACCACCACATTCTCTTCTTTAGCATACGGAATGCTCACCGGAAAGGTTTGTCTTCCGATTCGGCACCTTTTCTCGCATGAACTGACGTTTTCTGTGCGTCATTCATTAGTACAATAACGGGATTCCCGAGAATAGTCGCTTCGCAACCCATTCGGACTTCTTCAAGGATACGATCAAGCAACTCGAATTGTCTGAGGGTAAAGAGCAGATCCGAAAGGTTAAGGAACTTACAGCATTGGCCGAGAAAGGTCACTCTTATTGGTCGCTGTATCACGCTTACGCTAATATTCCTTTTCTCTACGCTGCCAGAGCTTGGGACCACCATGGCTGCTCTTGCACTCGCCTGGGTGGCAAAGAACCCCAATACATCAACTGTCATCCTTGGTGCCTCCAGCCCAGAACAACTCTTGGAGAACCTCAAGGCCGTTGAGGTCGTGCCAAAGCTCACCCCAGAAATCATGCACAGAATCGAGAAGATCCTCGGAACAGAGCCCGAGCCTCTCGTATGTCGCTTCTTTTCTCAGGTTTTGCGAACATGTCTGATCGTCGTCGTTCTTTTCCTTAAAACAGCCGTCATACGGCAGACCTGTTCTTGACAGGTTGGGCAGAATCTGAGGGATTTTACGTGGATTGATGGTTGGAAATGGATCATGATGTAAGACAGGGTTTATTATCAGTCGGTTTAAAGACGGAGCTCTGGTGACTATGGAAAACACGAATACCTCGAGGTGAGCGAGGGTGAGCGGCACTACTTTGCAAAACTCTGCCAAGACGATATCTCTCTTGTTGAATACTTGATTGGATACACCGAGTGCTTCGACCAGAATGGCCGAGGCATATGGGACATTTGCGCCCTAAAAATAGCATGGTTGCGCCCTGTCGAGACGCATATTGAAACCGAGACGGACCATCCTTGCAGCTCAGAGTATAAAGACGCGTCTTGAAATGAGGGATGGCTAGAGTCCCACTGAATTGGTGAGCAGGTGTTGAGGAGCCTACCCTAGGTAGATAGGGGATAGGTAATAAAAATGGCGCTGAGTACCGACGTTAAGTAAGAATAGTCAAGCTCTCAAAACCGGTAGAATCATGGAGAATAATACGGTGCAGGATAGAAAGTTGCACTTCTACTTGCCTGTTATGGAAGCTTGCGGAGCTTAAAGTCGTCGGTAAGTTCCAGTGTGGCGGCTTAATGACGGCTCCGGGAATTCTTGGGCGCCTGCGACCGCGTCCTGTCTTCACGTCAACGGCTGCGTATTATTCTGGAGAACCTGCGCTGCTTGTAATATTTAACCCCCAGAATGAGAGTCTCTAAGTTGTGAGTGTCCGCATCTTTCTCATTTCTCGTAGATCTAGAGTGAGGACTCGTGGGGACCTAATCAGACCTCCTAGAGCGGCCCTGTGGCCGCGTGCGCTCGAAAGAAAAATTCTGGTTTTTACGTGTATCTTCTTATTTATCCTTAGTCTCCTCAGTGAGTCAAATACGAGATCTGGCATCTCGAGCTGGCTCATTCAAGGGATTGAGCGCTATCAAACGCGGACGCCTGCTCCCCTATTCATCAAAATTCGGGGCCCAATCAAGAGCCTTCAACTTCCCAGACTCATTAAGCTCGTACCTACCTTTTCTGATGGCTTCTCACCGAGTTGAACTGCCTCTCATTCGCGGAATATCTCAGGGCTATTTTTGAGGCGGGCATGCTCACTACCGCGCCGTCTTAACCATCCATGCCGCACGGGAGATAGGGCGTGTCGAATTCATTGCAGAACATTACCCATGTCATCCAGACTTCTAGCACTGTTATCAAGAAGCTCGCAAGTCCTACTACGTTATGCCCTTGGTCGGGCCTCTCCTCGAGGCTACCCTGAATGGCGAGGGGCTGGTAGCAACAAACTAAAACATCATAATTCCAAAAATGCAAGTAAAACCTAAAATACTACGACATGATGTCGGGCTTTCAGCGGGTCAGGACTCCTGGTTGTGGGCAGGGCAGTGATGGCCATGATACCGTTTATCAAAGCCAACCATAAACGTGTTCACGATGGTTCGTTCTTCCCACTCTGCCGATCCAGCGCCTTGATCGAGACAGCCTGTACACAGAGGTAGATTCTGGAAAGCGTCTCCCGGACTGCCTATTTTGTCTGACCGAGCTTAAAGGACGCAATAGACCTGGCAGCCGACCGGCGGTGATGATATCCCTCTGAAGAGGTACTTTCACAGGCCACAAAGGAAGCAGAACACTGGTGACCATTCAATTGTTAATCCGGGTGGAGAGGCGTTCCTGGGAGGAAGGACATGGTGGCGTCTTCCGGAAAAGACAACATTTTCTCTTCATCTTCAATGCCTTTCAGACTGACATTGGCTGGACTAATGCCACCGTGCCAAGTCCTTGTTTTATGACGCCTTCAGCCTAAAATACTCTGAAGATTACACAGTCTACCCGGAGCAGTAATGATTGCTCACATATCGACGGCAGTTCAAATTCCACTTCTACCAGCGTGAGCTTGATGGTTCGTCGACGTAATAATGGGTGTACTTATCTCCGACTCGGTATGTTGTATGGAAGACGGGAGGAGTCAGAGGATCATCCACAGGTCCACACCACAATTTGATTGACTCCACCTCTCTTGACGCATCTAACGTTGCGAAACGTCTAGCGTGATAGGATCCGTGACAGCAATTGCCAGTACTTCCTCGTCCTCCCTCTTGGCCCGACATTCGCGTCCCAAAATTTGCACTGAATATGATATACACCACCTCAATGGTCCGAAGGTATTGCGCCTCCGGTATGTTTGTGATTCGACATGGGTGTATACGTATCGTTTTTGAGCTGAAACACATCTTTCGAGGTCAAATGATAACCTGCGCGAGCGGGACCCTGATGATGTCCGACTATATCATTTAATTATGCCCAGGCATCCTACTATGACAGTGCCGTCCTATTTCTTTCTCGGCCCAGTGGATGTGGGTATAACTACCTGCCTTGGGACTCATAAATATACCTGGAACGTGCGTCCATCAATCTTTACCTTTGGGGTTTACAGCAATCGTTCAGGGCTTTTCTTCTCATGCTATCCGACCGGCATAGAAGCCTAGTAGCTCCTTCAACCATTAGTAATTGGCTCCATTTACATCTCATCTAATATTTGTTATGCACTACCCCAACGGCGGAGGGTGATAGGATCTCTTGAATTCCACGGAGTTTTCTGGTATGTCGTGAATTTCATTTCCCCAAAATCCGCCTCAGATGCGCCGAATCATATCGACCATCATAGCCAATAGGGCGGTTAACGAGCCAAATGTTGCAGTAAGACAACCAAACCACTTATTCGGACGAACTCGACGTTGTGATGATTGACTTGCGTTTCTCCTCAAGGAGTTGAGTGACTGATCTCGGATCATCCGAAACGCCCTCAGAATTTTTCGAAAATCTTACATCCACGGCGGCTCCAATGCCGAATAGCTGGGTCGTTAAATTTACCCAAGCTATTCGCTTTACGTTGAACCTTTGCTCCTGCCCTCATAGGGAGGAGCAGCTTCTGTCCAGGAACACACAGCGAAGCTAGTAGAGACCCAAAGAGAACAGCGGCCGAAAACGACAGTGGTCCACTAGAGATTATAACGGAAAGTAGGCTATTTCTATAATCTAGTGAAATCGACAGAAGTTTCTTATTCTGTGGCTGATAACGATATTTAAACCTTCTGAAGTTGAAGAACGGTGGCCTTGGCATCCTCGCCAAGGTTGGGCATCACGTGGTGACCTACCCTAAACCAGAATCATTGACCGTGACACGTACGGACAAGTGAAGCAGCGACGCAATAACCAAAGACACAGAACGCGGTCGTAGTGACCAAAGAGCGACCTACGAATTTATTCTGTAGTCAGATAAAATGGTGCGCTGAACCCGGCGTTGTAGTCCGATCGACTGACTGACAATATGTCTACAAAGGTCGTTCTAGCAGCCTCAATCTGCACAAAAGGCAGCAAAGGTTAGCGACATTTATCATGGTGATAAAGATGGTATTGAAGCATAGCGTATTTACTAGCCGTCATTTCTCGCCAGTTCCGCGATATGACGCGGACGCGGATCGAGTCTCTTCTCGCCTCCTTCCCCAAACTCATTCCAACGAATACGCAACACACATCTGTCGAGACCGCCGAGGTCCGCTACGTGTACCAGCCTCTAGAAGACCTATATATCCTCCTCATCACCAACAAGGCGTCGAATATCCTCCAGGACATCGACACACTGCACCTATTCGCCCGGGTTGTCTCTGATTTATGCCGCAGTGCGGACGAGCGAGAGATCTCGAAGAATGCTTTCGAGCTCCTTGGAGCATTTGATGAGATCGTTAGCCTGGGATATAGGGAGAACGTCAACCTCATGCAGGTTAGGAGCGTGTTAGAGATGGAGAGTCACGAAGAGAAGATTCAGGAGATCATCGCCAGGGTGAGTTGGGGGCAGCTACGAAATCTTCCTCGATGAATGCTGATTTCGCGTATTATCGCAGAACAAGGAGGCGGAGGCGAAGGAGGAACTCAAACGCCGTGCCAAGCAGCTCGAGATGCAGCGCAGAGAACAACAACGACGTGCTGCTGGTGGAGGTGGAGGAAGCTACCTTGGTGTCGGCGGGGGCATATCTGGCTACTCGCCAGTACCACGATTCGAAGCTCCTGATGCACCCACGTCCTCAATTTCGCGTAGCATTACATCAACTCCGACACCCGCCCGTGGACCTGCCTTCAAAGGTACCGGCATGAAGCTGGGATCGAAGAAGACGAAACAAGCCGAGTTGTTGGATGCTCTCGGCGGAGATGTGCTAGCGAGCACGAATATCGCCGAAATCAGTAGCACGACGAGCGCACCTGCTCCGGCTGCGCATGCACCTCCTGCTGTGCAAAAAGTCAGCGGAAGGGGCAGTTTGCCCGAGGTCGAGGCGAAGAGGTAATGTTCATGTCGAACGGTTGTTCGACTCAACTAACTATCTCGATCACAGCGTCCATATCATTATCAAAGAATCCATCTCGCTGTCGCTACTGCGTGATGGTGGTGTCCAGTCCATGGAGCTCAAGGGCGATATGAACCTGCAAGTGACTGATCCATCCCAAGCACATCTCAAGGTCATCCTCGCCCAGCCCTCGGCGGATTTCGGCGGATCGGCACTGCAGTTCAAGCAGCATCCGAATGTTGCCAAATTCGCTCCGGGTCAGCAGAGGGTCGTTGCATTGAAGGACTCGAGCAGGGCATTCCCTGTCAACCAGAGCCTTGCGGTGTTGAAGTGGAGATATACGGGCACGGATGAGAGCAACGTCCCGCTTTCGAGTAAGTTTTTGGGACTTTCAGGATATTGGTGGAAACTCACGGTTTCATTCGTCAGTAAATTGCTGGCCGTCGCCTTCGAATGACGGAACATGCGAAGTGAGTATCGAGTATGAGCTCGAGAATGAGAATGTCACACTGTACGACGTCGTCATCTCCATACCGCTTCCGTACGTATACATGCTGTAGTTATCTTTTCATCTTCGTTTTCTCATCCCTTTCTAGCGATGGCTCCTATCCAACCGTGACCTCCCACTCAGGCGAATGGTCGCTCGACCCATCCTCCCACTCGCTCGCCTGGTCTGTCCCCGAGATCTCAGCAGAGGACGAAGAGACGAAGAGTGGCTCGCTCATGTTCAATGTCGGCGGTGTTGACGTCGCAGCCTTCTTCCCTGTCGACGTATCGTTCATTGCCCAGGGCAGCTTGGCAGGCATACAAGTGGAGAACATTGAGCGGGTAGACGGCGGCGAGGCTCCTGAATGGAGTGTTGATAGCTTTGTTACGACTGATGAGTACTTGGTTGTGTAGGTTGCGTGGCTGAAGCTCTGGAATGTTTATTTTTTCTTCCAAGTTTGCTTCGCAGGTGGAAATCTAGTGCAATGGCCCAATGAGCACCTTTTCTGCGCATATATAGATTTGAAGAACTGAGGCATCATTTGGCTTGTACGCTAGCGTAGGCTGACATCTAGATAGAAGAGCAGAACGTTAACCAGTGATGCAGATGAGACATCGACTGTACACGGGTGGCTTGCATCTTCGGCTCCGAGTGGGTGAGCAGGGACGGGAGGTCGATAGTAAAAAAAAAGTCTGCTTCGACTCGGATAAGGCAGCCGATGAGAGAGGCATTCGTGATACATACTTACCTGGCCGTGGCGTTCATCTAGAAGCGTTAAGCACATCCCCTAGCTTTGAATCATGATGCTTAGTTGTTTCTGAGCCGCTATGATCCTGCCACACTTCGGAAGCATATTGGTACTTAGTTTGTCTGGTATTCGTGGATTGGTCCCCAACCATCCAATCGCATAGGACGTCGACCATAGTCATAGTGTAAGGCATATGTGCATGATTAGGATTGATCTGGCTGTTCGATATCGTGCAGCTGGGTATCCAATCAGAAGAACTACTGCAGTTTGCGATAATGTAGTGTGTGTCTGGTGTCCACGCGATACTGAGCATAATTTGCCGCAGGGTGTACCAAGAGCGAAAGACGATGGACAAAGATTAAGGCTATAGAGAAGGACAAACCCTTCGGGGTCGGAGATGATCGAGGGGATCAGGTAAAGGCAGGGCTCACCTTCGAAGGTGTTTCAGGCGTTAAGAATAAGAAGCATATCCCTGGCGTACATGGTTCAAGTACTTCGAACATCTTGACTGAAATTTCTTGCAGGTGGCAGTGCGTCAGACTGCGTCATACCGCATCATCAATATTTTTATGTTGAACTGAGAAAAGGCTTGGAAGAACCTTGTTTCTTTCCTCCTCTTCGATGACATTACGCCCATGGGCGCCACGCACACTTCAGCAACGAAAAGCCGAGGTGTTGGCATCGTTTGCTTCCAATAGCATCAGGGGCTATCCGAACTTCGAAAAGCGAAGACCTGCGGCGTGGCTAGTCTATTCGCGTCATCTTCTGCGTCTGCTGCGCGATAGAACCCTCGTTAATGAATGCTATGTCGACGCTGGAGTTTCCTGGTGTGCTTGCTCGTGACTGGCTGGGACAGGCGAGGCCAACGAGGTGATGGTCATGAAGGAACATGGCGTAAGCGGCTGAATCAGAAATAGCTGCCAAGGCTAGACCCGACGCCGTTGATTCCTTTTTCTCTTCCCCCAACAAGGGTCGGGCTCTTGTCTCTGTCTCGGTTTCCTCTTCTTCGCTTTCACGACCACGACCACGACCAGGAAACTGCCTTCATGACCGATTTCACGCTTGTCGACCCAAAAGGCTGGGAGTACGACCTTCACTCTGTTCGTGATTCGTCCGACGTCTTGCTGCCTGGGCTGACCCATTTTCCAGGTATATTCTGCTTATATTGGCTACTTCCAGATCTATAACATCCCATGGTATGGATCCTATGTCACTATGTGATGCTGATTATCTCAAGGCTGTCTAGGTATGAACGATCATGGGGGCATCTATTCGAATCATTCGAACAGTTCCTATCCTTCTCCTGGCCTGTTATCACCGTCACAGATGCTTGCACAGGCAGAGCCCATATCGTGACGCGTCTCAATTCTGTTGGTGCCTTCCTGAAGATGATTAAGACGAGGTAGTTCACTCCCCATGACTTGCCAGCACAAGTTGTCAACCTCGAGGCTGATGCGCCTTCGTCTTGGGTCCTCCTTTGCTTACCTAGGTTCGGTGAAACACTGCCTCAAGCGCCCAACATCCTGCAAGTAACCCCCTTTGAGACAAGCAACCGCCACATGCGCCATGTCTCCGACTATTCGACGTATAGGAAGCTGCATTCAACCCTCCCAGCTGCTGTCTTGTCTGCCCTGAAAGCACGCGTTCGTGCTGGCGAACCGAAGGCGATCAAGGAGGTCTGGGATAGGAGGGACAAGACATTCCTTGCACTCGACTTCAAGTGGAACGAAAGGAACGAGAAGAGTGTCTTGGAGTGGGGTTACGCAGCTGTCAGGTGTGGTCATCTAGAAGCGTACGTCCACCCTCTTTTTCGAAGCTAAATGCATGGAACACTTCCTCCATCCAATGGGATGCGGTAGACATATTTCGACGGTGCTCACGCCTTTTGTGGCTTTATTCTCGCTTTCAGGTTGGGGCATTGGCCGCCGAATCCGGATGGCAATTATAGGTGAGTTGGAGTGCATACCATTCAATTTCGTCTGCCACAAGGCAGCTGCGAGATCCAAAAGGCTATTTTATCAATCTTCTACCCGTCTGTCTACCAGGAAGGGCCACTATATTGTTGCCGAATACGTGGACAAAGTCACGAACAAATATCTCCCGAACTATCCATGGCAGGTATGCCCAAAGGCTCCGTCTTCCTCGTTCATCCCGGAACTACTGTACTGATCACGATTTTGTCGCTGTCATCCTCTAGTACGCTGTACGATTTCAACATTGAATCTTGCCCCGGAAAATCGCAATTGAGTTCTTCTGTTATAGTTCGGTGACAGTCAGGTAGCTCCGAAGGCGAAGCTGCCTCAGATCATACAAGCTATGATTAGGTTCGCTCTAGCTTACTTAGTTGCGAGCCGGTTACTCATGTATTTTCCTTGTATACAGTAGCATGTCGAGTCCAGACTCCGAGACAACTCCAAATCACCTCGTTCTTGTCGGACACAACATACATGGGAGCCTCGCCCGACTGGACGACATGAAATTCAGTTCGTACCATGCGCTCGTCTCCGTCTTTCTGTGGATGCTCGCCTCATGTTCGTCGCTTGTCATCTTTAGAACTCCCGCACAATATGCTTGTGATTGACACCATGGTGTACGAGCGCTCGCTCTACGCCTCTGGACTTCGAGGCACCATGCCCGATCCCAGCCCCAGCTCGAAGGCCGATGGGGGCAGCAAAGTACGCGTTTCAGGCTCACAACTCTCGTTCGAGAGTTTGTTGTGGTCGTTGACCATCCCACTCGGCTTGGCACCATCCCCTCTTGGTCCGGGAAGCAACAGCAATAGTACCGGCTCGAATTCCTCGGCGTCTCCGGCTCCAGGTGGCAAACAACCAAGCCCAGACACAATCCACCTGCCACAGCTGCAACACCCCCAGCGCCACCAGCACCAACACCCCGTCGCCCTCCCGCAATGCACTGTCTACAACGCAGGCAACACAGCCGTTCTCTGTCTCTTTGCCCTACAGAAGCTCCTTGAACCCGCTGGCACGGCCGTACTTACTATCAAGAGAGGTAGGCAGTCCTCGTCTGGGCAGAATGCGAACGCGATGATGCCGGCTGCCCGAATGAGTGGGATGATGAGTATGGGCATGCAGGTACCCATGCCTATGATGATGAATGCGATGTCAACGGTCAACGCGATGCCCACGATGAACCCCATGAACATGCCCATCCTGCTCAACCCGCCCGTGAACAACAGCAGGATGTCGATGACGATCCCGAAAGCTGACGGCAGCCCGACCTCCGTCGCCACACCAATGATCAACGCCAACGGTTCGTCGGCTGTTCTGCCTCTACCCTTCCCATCCTCCTCGCCTGGTACCTCATATGGCATGCACCACCCACCTCGTCCTAGTGCCCGTCCTTCGTCATACGACCTCGCAGCTGAGCTCGGTGCCATGTCGATGGACCGCCAGAATGGCAACCGTAGCGGTGGCGAAACCAGCGAGACTAATCGTCCCAGCAGTGCTTACTTGACGATGCCGGGCAGAGGCGACAAGGCTTCGAAGAGGTTCCACAGTTTTTCTGGTGGTTTGACCCTCGGAGGTTCAACGAGCCATCTGAAGGCGGAGAAGTGAGCCGCGAGTGTAGGAACTGGACTATTTTCTCTCCTGACCTTTCTTCTTGGACTCATCAGCATATCTCTTCCCTTTTCGTATCCATTACCTTTCTCCATCTGACATTCTTCGTCTCTGCTGCTTCTTTTTTCCTCGGACTTTCGCACTGTATTGCCATACCATCTTCTTTCAGTTCTCCATGCTCTCTCGCCCACACATTTCGTTTATAACGACCTCATGCATTCCCACACGTATCAGTAGACTCGGACTATCTCTACAGCATGAGTTCCCAGAACTAGGACTAGTTTTTACTTTAGTTTCAGTTTCTAGTTTGCTCTTGGTTTCGACCATGCTTTTAGTGACGTTCACATGTTTCCATCCCCGTCGTATTCGGACGCCTGTAATATGTAGTTTGAAAAGAGGATGTCTAGCTTTGCCCGTAACACGAGTAGGACGGGTAGCAACTTGGTAGCAATGGTTGACGGAGAAAATATGAATCGACGAGAGGGGCCACAAAGTCTTCCTTCCAGTCATAGTTCTCATGCGGGTCGAGCACCTGGTGTCTGGGAAATCATTGAATTAAATCGGATTGTTGTTTGGGTGGAACGAAAGATAGCCCTAGACTTACGCATTCCGCAAATGCGACTTCATAGCTCGTGGGACATAGAGTTTCATCTTGGTTGGGGCACATCGCAAACAAAGACATTTTCGTGGGTCGGTGTCAGGAAGGAGAATAGGTTGACGCAAAGGAGGCAATGTGTCATATATAAAAACGTAGTTGCGCTTGAAAACGGGTCGAATGATGTCGTGACTGAAACGAATATCGTGTTATCCCATTGAGTGGGCTATGAACGTTTGAACGCTCAGCGGGTTACATACGTCGTTTGCACATGTTCTATGACATCTCTGCGAGATACCTGGGTCTCGAAATGTGTCGCGTAGTGATTGTATGCCCACTGGTCGAACAGGAATAGAGGCTCGGGTTCTTTGCGCGCCTTGACCTAAGCTGATACCTCGAGTCCCAGTTAGACCAGATATCCATCCATTCTGGTGCCATTTCCCCATAAAATAGAGAACCTATTGCTATAGTAAGTGCCCTCAAGTTCATGGAAAAGTCGCAGGAAACTTACCGCCTCGTGGAATTTCCAAACTGGCCTGCCAGTAACAGCCTGGACTAATATTGGTGGACAGGCAAGACATATGTATAAGCCTTCGGTCGACGGCTTGCATATTGGAGATATTTACCTTCTTCTGGTTGAGACCAACAAGTTCAACGAGTTCTCGGACGGTGTCATGCCCTTCCTGCAAGAATTCAATAGCCCAGTCTCTACCCGTTCGGTTCCAGCACCGAAGATGAGGAACAAGCGAATCCCAATAGATCAAACAATATCCACAGCGTATTTTGCAGACGTAGCGAGCTCGAGCGTGTCATCTTTAGGTTGCTCTATCGCCCCTGGAGGGTCAGCTCCTAGAGTTACGTTCGAAATGCATTGGATGTGGTTGTCAAGTTGCTGATGTTGGCTCGATGGCAACATTGCCGCCAGCTGAGCCTTTCTCTTCATCCGCCATATCTCCAAGGCCTCCGGAACCAACTTCATGGGCTCTGCTAGATCTCCAGAGGACGATCGTCCGTCATGTTCGGCACATATGACCTTCCTCATGCAATCGAAGGCCCATAGCGGGCCCCTGGAGTCCCATGTCGCCGACTCGCAAGTGGAAAGTTATCGTTGACAGACCTGATTGACGAAATCAAACCTGGACTGGATGAGGTCGGGCCTTTTTGCTTGACACGTGCTGCGGCCGCCTTCATGATTGAGGTTTCTGGCCCTAGCCCACCCTTTAGGGTCAAAGGTCAGCTTTGCTACAAGAAGTCATGAGGAGGAACATTCACTCACTGCTCCTCATCAACCGAGTCAAGCCTGTGTCTGCGACAACTGGAATTTTTGATGTCATCTGCGCAGTGCAAGTTCAAGGCCTGAAAACTGTTCCGAATCCTAATCTGGTCAGAACGTCTAGCATTTAATGGCAGGAAGAACAGCAAACAGACCTTTTTTCCAGGCGCAGAATCTTTTCCTTTAATTCCTTGTGACATGAATCATAGAGTTGCTGACCAAAAGAAAGATACAGGAGGTTTTCCTACCCACAGGAATGTTAGGATGGATGATTAGCGGAGGTAAACATATTTTTCACCTTCACCTTTTCAGAGGATTCCACCAAAGCGCGGCGAGTTGATCGATATTGTGCATACCACTCATGGGCGCCACCGATGTTGTCGTTGATATCGTTCCGCATTTGCTTGAACGTGCCCTCTAGTTCCAAGCCTTCCGCGTAATATATGGGGAGCCAACGGTTATGCCGCTTCCCCCATTCATGTTGATTGTACGGTCAGGCTCTATCACGGACGTTGCGTTATGCGCTGCCGACTGTTGGAGGGAAGAAAAGCAAATACCCAGTAGTAATTCGCTTAAGGGAACAAAATCGGCTACCCGAACGTCTTGGGTTGAATCCGAGAAGAAATAGTGCCGAGAAAGGAATCTGACTCAGAGGACACATCGATTTACAGATATGGGCAGAATCAAACTGAAGAGTCAGGCTAACTCTCGCTCCGAACAAGATTTGCACAATCGTCGACGGTATGTGATGTTGACTGGAGGGTTTCCACATTTCGCAACGGATGGATTAGTAGAAATCAGAGAGTATATGCCTGAATGTGACGTGTCTCACAGATCATCTCTCCGAACAGCAAGTCAGCCCATTTCCACGCAACCTGGTCTGGCGGAATGGATGGAATACTTCGATCGCTCTCCAGTGCACCTCTCCAAAAAAAGGCGGCAGCCGGGTTGCTGAGCAATTCTTTGAAGTTCGAATTCAAGTTCTTGATGAGGATCAAATCAAGTGGATGAAGGTGTTGAAAGATCTGTATGAATGAGACTCAGTCTCGTCTGATGACAAAGAGAGCGTCAACAGACCTCCAGCAATATTTCTATGGGCATTGTAAGATTGGGCGTAGATGCTTCAACATGGATTCCTTGGGGTTTTGTCGTGTAATTCTCTTCCGGTACTGCACGAGAAACGAAACGGTGAAAAAATTGACTGGGGCAACAATGGGGCAATCGTGATTTCATTGTCATATCGCCGTTGAGTATTTCTGCGCACCTTTAGCCTTCGAAAGTCTTCGGCGTTCCACGTTGCTGAACACTTCTTGCTGAAACGCGTCTGCTGTGAGTCGGGGATAAGTGCAAGAGTCGGGCCTCATGTCGGGGTCCTATAAGAAATTCCTGTATCTTTGGTGAGAGTAAGAAGTATAGAAAGACAGTGATGAATCATGGTTGTTGGTCTCGACTAGGTCATGCCCTAACGTTCTAACACTCGGCGATATTGGTTAACCGGTCGCCGCTGTCAAGTGCTGGTGCCAGCTACTTATCAGAAAAGATTGAATATTGAACATTTAAGTGCAAATATCAAAGGACGGAAGGCGGGGTTGAAGCTTGAAGTATAACACAAGTGAATGTTATAGATGTGGAGGTGGTTAACTTCGAAGATTTCAACGTTCCAATGCCCAATCGGGCCGGAAGTAAGATCACGTGACAGTTCTTATGTAATACTAATGCGCCACCTTCCACCTTACAAGGGAAATCGTTTAAGCACTGTGAGAACCAAGGGACAGAGAAAATCTAGAAGTTGGCGATAAAAAGGGATTATTATCTATAAATGTCAAAAATATTCTACCTGTGGCGAATTTCGAATATGGACATGTTGAAACTTGGGCCTTCGTCAAGCGCCCTCCTTCTTAGAGCAACAAATACGCAGAACGGCAACACGCCTACTTTTGTGAACAGATAAAATTTTCTCATATCTTGCCTCCCTTCCATTCGACGTTCTTTATCAGTTCGAAAAATTGTACTCCGAGTCGTTTGGAATTCGTTCTGCGATTCGAAATACTATAAGCATTAACAGTTATCCTCTACCTGTCTTTTTCTGACCACGGTGAAATTACCAGCTACTGGCCTATCCATTCTTCTCCCTCTAAAGTCTTTACCTGTTTTTATGGGGATTGAGCTTTGCGATGCCAGTTTTTTCCCTCTCGAGCACCAACCAGCCTCCGAGTCGGAAATTAGCGATCTTTTGTCCTCAAGTGATAGGCCGGTAAAATAGATTTGCCCGCGCATTGAACGTATGTAACACCAGCGCTTGATCATCTATCTTCCAGAAAGTGGAGTAAGCTTTGTTATCGGAGGGGCAACAACTCCACAAACTAGGCGAACGTGGAAAGTTGCCTGATTTAGGAAGGCGACGATCCTCAGCTGACGGATTTCAAACCTTCGACAGAGATTGTATCAATGACTGTGTTGAAGGTGTAGACACCGGCGACGAGTTCGGCGGAGAGATGTTAGGCGTGAATGCGCCGCAAAGCTTAGTTAGGCTCTACATCCTCAAGCTACTTTGACAGGACTTGTGAGACAGATCTAAGGTGAGGGGCGCCTCTCAGAGGCCGGCCAGCGCCGCGGGGTACGAAATCCCAAGTCTCTTGAGAACGGACATCAGCCTCCTGAAGGACTTTCCCTCACTGAAAAACATTGGCAAGATGGTATTAACACCCCAAACCTTCAACGATTCGAACCCTTCCCGTGCTACATAGCCGTTGTCGTGATTCTCCGAGCAGCCCATTGGCATGCTATGCAACGCTGAGGTCATTTCAGAGTCATCTACTCCCGACACGAGGTCTCGTGTCCCCAAAACGAGGTAGTGTGCCCACCTGTACGCGTCCCTCTCTCCTTCACATTCGGCAAATTTCCATTCGGGGTAGGCCTGCCTGCAGGTATCCTAGATCAGTACGAACTGAGCCAAGCAACACCTTGAGGCTTCTTCGAACCATTCAACTACATAGGTGCTAAAGATCGCAACTTGCTCAGCGATTTTTTGAGTCTTGTGTGGTCCCTCAAATCTGGGGACATAGGGCGAGTGTAGAAATAACCGTCGCTACGGGGACATCGGTGACAACATCACTGTCGAGATCTTACAGCGGAATCAAATGTGCACATTAGGTGACCTCATGAGAAAGTGCTACCCTTCATGGAGTCGGTGGTCGTAGATCCTGGGGGGGGAATGATTGCACATACGGTCCCCGCTGGGCTACGAAGCGCCCTATGAAAAAGATATCAGAATCAGAATAGCCAAGAAGTCTGGGAATATATTAGTTTGCATGCGCATTATTATCAGAAAAGCCGCTGAATTCTCTGCATGACAAAGGTCCGTTTAGAGAGACGTCGACGGAGATACTGGACGTGCGGCCGTTCGTAGAATAAAGGTGCAGATATAGGATAAGCGCGATTAGCGTCTTCCGGACAGAAGTTACATGCACCAAGCCCGCTGAGTATGGAGAAGACGAGAAGAAGACGAGGGAAGCAAAGGGCTTCAAGACATATCGGGATGAATAGACTCGGGTGGAAGAAAAGGAAGAACGTCGAAATCAAACCAGTCGGTGGACGGCTGGTGTATCTCCATTTCACAGAGGACCCGGGGAACCATAATCACAGGAACGCGAAGTCCTTCGAACCAGAAAGGACCATTCAGGAAGGCATCCAAATTATCACCAGCCACTTATGTCCAAATGGCACCCGATCCGAGGGAACTGACTGACAATGATAGACGTCCGCGTCCGCGCCCCTCTTCCGACTAGATGCTTCTTTCAATCGATGAATATAATCACGAGAAACTGACTGGACCTTACCCAACACAAGAAGGCTTCGAGAAACATGCGACCCACACGCATACGTCCGACCGACACCGACATAATGGAAAGCCCCCAGCGCGCATCGCTCCGGGCTGTAGTAGCATCAGAAAAGAAAAACACACCAGACCGCGAAATGAATGCGCGAAAAACCCACTGAAAACGAAACCTCGGGTTCGACGCTACCACAGACACGTCGATCATACATCCCAGTACCTTCCCACTCCACAGAAGCGAGTATTACGAGCAGTGATGAGTCGATTGGTCTCACTCAGGGTCTGATCCCGATGCTGACAGGTGGCAGGATAGCCCGAAATGGCCAAATACAGTCCCTCGCGCTCCCGGCCCCAGCGCATCAACACCAGAAGAGTTGAGCATCGGGAGGACCCAGAACACCCCGGAATAAGATATTTGCTGTATAATCGCCGTTCGATGACTACGATGCAGTTGCGGGTGACACGGGCTGCGGGCCGCAAACGGTGAGCAGGCGTGAGAATCTCTCTGATCTCCCTCGAGATTTCGTCTAATTTATGTCGTATAGCTAGCCACACCAACCAACTTTCCGGCAAACTATAATAAATGGATAGAAGTGTACATAATAAACTTATTTGTGAGAAAAGATAATGCAGCGTTCAATAGTGTGGTGCGCTACAATCCAAATCCGACGACGAGCGCTTGATTAGTGGCTGTGCGAGTCGTCGCCAGCTCCTCCGAGAGCGATTTGTCTACCTAGCTCGGAGTGGAAAGATAAAAGAGGCCACGTAGATCTAAATACATTAACAAGTACCCTATAGATACCATAATGGACACGTGGATCATAGAGAGGGAAAGTCAGTTCGTCTGAAATATATCTCAGTCGGGAGGTGAGCGCTTGAGCCAGCAACGGCGGCTACCATCCGATCCTGGTCAAACCCGTGGGCGCTGTATCCTGGGTGCAGATATTAAAGCTTTATACAATAAAATAAATTGTTGTCTTCTTAAGCGTCGACTGAGTAAAGTAGTATTTTTCGAGTCTCAGGCAGTTTGCGGAATGCGAACCTCAGTGCGAAGCAAGTGAGGATGCGCATCTAATGCGGGCCTCCTATTTAAGGACCTTTCATATTCCGTCTAGTTCACATTGTAGGGCACAAAACACAAGTCGCATTTTAATCAACAGTACTAAACCGATACACATGTACACAGTAAACATAAATATAGAGAAAATAGATCCACGCATCGATAGCATGCTGAAGACGAAATCCGACAGCGAGCGCTTAATCGGTCCTTTGTAAACCGTCATTTGCCTGTTCGAGAATGAATCTCATATTTAATGAAAGACTTAATTGCTGCCAACGCTGGGAAGAATCACACCTTACTCCAAACATATTCAATCCTCCGATGCCTTCTATAGCTCGGTGACGAGCCAGCTCCCCTCTGACTCTGTAAAACCTGCAAGAATATTTTTTATCACCTCGTCACTGTGTTTCGGGACTCTATACTGCATATGGTGTCCAACCGCTTCCACCGTGTCATACAGGTCATGGCAGCAGATAGATGGGCCTGCCTACCCTCCGTCAGCATGCGCAGCCAGCCCATGACAAGCACCACCCGTTTTCACGGCAACCGATGCGCTCGGCATGCCTCCCTTTCCTCCTCAAGAAATTCCTCCTCTCCCAACATTGACATTCATATCGCGTGTCCTCCCTAATCCCCCACTCATTCATTCTTGCTTGAATAGTTTCTGTAGTATAGATAATCTACTGATCAAAAATTTGCGGGCAATAACATGGTTTGCATCTCGTATTCACCCTCTGCTGTCCTCACCTTGAGGCTCGTGGGTGCCGTTGCGTCGTCACCCGAACTCTTTGTCACTCTTCTACACTAGCCCTTGTTAAGCGCCCGCATTTCGTAGCGCTTCGCATCTTGTATCATACTACCGTTCCGTAACTTCGAGTCATGCGCTTGGCACTTGTTTAGAGGCGCACAAGTCCAGCCACCGACGCGACGCGTACAGGCAAGAGCCGGCAAGAAGCTCTTATTTTTAGTGTACATATCTAGCCCACGCGGCGCCAAGTCAAAACCCGCAGCTAACGCGCTGATGGGCTTCCTGGGGTCTGCGATGAGCCTCGTGTCATACCTGTCCCGCCTGCCATCCATTTTCGGCATGATCCCCGGAATGTTCAGGGAGATCAGACCCTGAGTGAGACCAATCGACTACGCACTCTATTACGAGCACGCTTTCCTTGTCTAAATGCGAAAGGCGCGTCCCGGCCGACTGGGTTGGGTCTGCCTGGGGTAGCATAGGGCGGGTGCTCGGTTGGTAAGAGGGTGCTGATTAGGAGGGCAGATGAGTCACTCGACCTATGCGGGAGACGCGCACGTCGCGCCGTGCACAGTCCGTATGTTTTGGGGTGTATTTGAGGGACCAGGTGATTTGTTCTTTGAAGGGCATGGGGCGGCATGACGAGACATCTGTCTTGTACAAGTCCGGCTCATCGTGCGGGTGTGTACAGCCTGCTCTCCCGAGCACAGCGCCCACACCAACACGTTGCCCGTCAAAAAGTAGTTGCCGGCTTGATTTTTTCGCTGATTCTGAAGCTCGCGGCGAATACAAAGGAATATTAGCAAGCACTGTCTAGTCGTTTTCTCGTGGTCACTGGCGTACCAGTATGTCCTTTCGACCAGACGTCGAGTTACCTCATGATCGAGGCCTGCTCGGCCTGATTGGAGTAGGCCAAAATTGAAGACCGATATCACCAAGACAGGAGACGTGGGATACAAAACATAGAAAACAGTTCTAGGTGCTCTCGGCTGGCATCTCCTTGACGTTCCTCGGCCTTCATGAAGGAGCACTGAAGGGCAATAAAAGCGGATAAAAGAAACGACGTCATACGGCGTAAGATAAAAGGCGAAGCGAGACCAAGTGAATGCTTTGCAGAGGCCGGCCATAGCAGGCCATGAAAAGAACGGATGAAAAAGGACATTGGCAGGTCCGAATGGCCGATCAGGATAATGGCCATGCCAGCGAGACTCCACAGTCCGGCGTTTATGGGGAATATCATTCCTTTGCTTTGAAACCGGGCATTGAGTTGAACCTATCGCTCGGTCCTGCGCTGGAGGAGGTCGTTATGAGTCGACCGCTTCTTCAATGCGAAAAGATCGCAAACTAAAAATTTCCGAAAGTACGGAAAGAAGCCCTGTAAGACAACGGAAACCATAAGCAGCCATTTTGAACGAGACGAATGGAATAATCATAAATCTGTCTACGGACAATAGAACGGTGAAAGGATCCCATATTTTGCGTAGTCGACATCTGTAAGCAGTCGCAAAGGGAAGGTTCAATCGACTGCCACTCCTTGTCCTCGCAGGGCGTTCTTAGCCTCTGCAATCTCCTACAAATAAAAGACAGGACGTAAATCAGTATCAAAGCCATGTCAGCTCGGCATTCAAAGTGTATAGATACGGCGACCCCGATTAAGTGCCTTTCGGAAAGACAATGGAAAAAAGAAAGAGAATAGCAGGCGATATTTTGACAGCTCGGGACGTGCACAAATACGGTTGCTGTTCAAAACGGTGCATAGAAGGGCATCACTAATTATCCGAGCCTGATGACAGCCAAAATTACTCCATTCGCCTTGTCTCATGATGATACGGAAGAAGGAATGTGCGCGAGTAGGTGTATAAACAGGATCACTAGACACGGCACCGAGCATGCTGGACGTCAAGAATGTCAGGGAGAGACATTATGAGCAATCTCAACAGGTCAACACCTTTGTGCGACTTCAAGGCGGGCTTTATCATCATGGAAGAGGTGAATAGCCTGGTTCCAGCGGCCTCGATAGACCGGCAACTGCAAGGTCTCCCTCTCCCGGAATTGCGAAGGCACAAACACGAAGTAAAAGAATCAAGAATCGAAGGCACTCCAAGAATAAACCCAACGCCTCGTGTAGAAAAGATAGAAAGCAGTGGAACAACAGTGAAGAATAGAATGAGACTTACCCCAACCAGTTCATTGTACGCTTCTGGGCACTCTCTCAGCGTAAGGAGACCCATCCCGATGGACCACAGAGAATACGACCCAAACGAAACTAGAAGCCACCAGGGGAGCTATTGGTTTTCCAGCCAGTGCGATGACGGGTCAAGGTAGTTCCAGGCATGTATCGTTTGTATGTTTAGACCCGCCCGAAGTCCAAGTTGCATAGGCACAGAGTTTGCGATTCAACGGACGTGGAGTGTGGTGGAGTAGATGTTTTGCGGGGAAGACGTGAGCATGAGAGAGGCCCGATATCAGGGATACTGCGCACCACTGGGAGTATCTGAGCAGCGATCTTCTCGTCCAGTAGAGGTACAGAGAGGTAGTTGAAGAACGTAAGGAGATATGCAATGGTGATTAGCGTTGTGACGGCCGCTACTCGGTGTGCGCGTGCCATGTTGAAGGAGTGGATGCGGTCAAGGTCAGGCCAGCTGGGGTAACAAGGACTGGCGACGTGTCGTTGTCGACGATGATGTGGAGGAAGTCACCATCTCTGACGACAGTCGGCTACGTGGCGTGGCAATTTTGCCGCAATCGGAAAAAGATAAGATGCAGATTATTCATCTTATCTACTGCCTATTTCTGTCACTTGGGTCTATGCATGTTCAGAGACGTTGCAAAGGAAGATTGTCCAGATCTTCATCTATTTATTACAATCTAGCTGGTGGGTCACTAGCAACCAGAGTCAAGACCGCGTCCATTATCGCAAAGAGGTGCCTCACGCCTTGATCAGCCCTGCAAGCTTTCCGGCCTTGAAGGCCGCTTGGGTATCATCGTTGCCTGTAAAGTGTTTTGAGAGACAATTTATTCATCGAGATTCGGAATACGGACCCCCAATGTGTTGTTCGTCTGTTAAGCCGACAGGGGTCAGACCCGGAGCATAATGCCTCAACTGAAGTCGGACTTACTGATGAAAACGTTAGGGACGGTTCGCTGGCCAGTCTTCTGGTGCAAATATTCCTGGATGGTAGACCCATCATCACGCTCGTCCAACCTGAAGGAAGGAAATATGGTAAACCAGGATGCATCTGAGGTACCAAATCGACTAACTCAAAGACGGCAGGTGTAACATCGGGGAACTCCTTTTCGAACAAACTTTTGACCTTCTTGCAGTAAGGACAGTAGCTCTTCGAGAAAATCACGACTTTGTTGCCAGAGATGGCTGTCTGGGCGTCCCAGGAGTTAGATAACGGCCCAAATACCCAAAAATGTGGCCCAGCTCACCTCGACAAGTTCCTTGACGCTCATCTTGTGCTGCTGCGCTGCTGAGGGGCTCGATGAAGATGCTGTCGACGAAAACAGGGCGAAAGAGAATCCAGACGGGAGTCGAGAGGAAAGAGCAGCAGCTAGTCGTGGCAGCATCTTCAACGTCACCCAAGCTCACCAGTGAGCGGTAAGCGGAGTGTGATTGATTGATCTGTAATGGCGTCAGTTGCACGTGACTTGTAGGTCACGAGGAACTGCAGAAAAAGGAAATTTGGATTTCTAACCTCCGCTTAGCTCCCGCGACGCTCCTTGTTCTCATTTTTGCATGTCAGATTTATCATTCATGTCATCCTTCCACGACAAGGCGCTTGTTTCTTGTGATCCCCCTGCTATTTCGAGGTGGCTTCGGAAAAGAAATCAATCTTTTTGCCGGACTTCAATCTTTTACAAAGGTCCAAGAAGAGGCCACACGGCTTGAAGGACCCGTCTCTACAACCATCACGTTTTAACTATCACAATATTCACAGGATAATTCCTTGACCACGCACGAGCTTACTGCCTAGAGGAAGCCGAGGCGGGACGCCCGTCTGGTCCTCAGATCCTCCTTTCGTCCTCGACCGACAGAGGGTACTACTCTACGCCAGTCTACGTCTCGCCAGTCTTTCCAGAACGTCTACCCTGCTGCGGTCACAGGCGCTCCTGTCGATCCGGATCTCCCGCATCTCGTTCTCTGGCTTTCGAACCAGGACGAACCACTGGCCCGACCTGCAAGGAGGGTTTGCAGAGGGATCTATATTTGCTTGATGGAATACAACTTATATCCGTCCTCACTCGATTCGACTAGATCCTCTGCCGTAAGCGCCATCTCTAGATTTGCCAAGGGGAAAAGGTACGAGTTATTCTGGCTTTACGTATTTTCGGAGATGTTCCCTCGCGAGGATAAGGCCTAGTCGACGTCCTTAGTAGCTTCGCCGTGTGGTTCTCTACTTCAACACTTGGATTACTCGACCAGCGCTTTTAAAAAAATTGAACCCCAATAGATAAGTTTAACCTAGCTTGGAAGGGAACGCCCTATCCTTTAGGTATCTTGATGCCTGAAGACTGCCGGTCTCGGGCTTCAAATGCTTAACCGCCCTCGGGAAGGACAGACGCACGGGTAGGTCATGATACCTCTCACCTGTGACGACACTACACTGTCGCTCTTCCATTCTTCCAGGTGCCGTTTGCTTCGCGGATCCATATTGAAATGCCAACCGGCCGTTTGAAGGGGCACGACCAATGTATGATCGGTCTGTATCATCAGAGAAAGTTTAATGTACTATTTACAGACAGGACTCCTGGCTTTTGTTCGGGGCTGCAAGAGTGAATCCCCAAAAGATTCGAACCCCACTGACCAGAAGATTGATTTAAAGGAAGCTGATACACGAAACACGCAGTGCGCTTCCACGCTGTCACAAATTCTACTCGTCATATGTCGCTCCAGCGCTCTTGCTGCGCCTCCCATCAGGGCCCTAACGCGGCGCGCCAACGGATGGGTCGCGAACCTTTCAAAAAACCTTGATGTCTGTCTGTGATATGTGTGTGCCGGGCAGGCTGACTGATTAGCAGTCCTTTTTTCAGATCAAACGAGTAGACCCGTCGCCCTACGCTGGACCCTCTTTCATGGATCGGTGACGGATATTTGGCATCTGGTTATTCCCGCTCGGAGGTTCGCTTTGTCCGACCCTTTTTGGAGGAGGAGGAACGCGCCACACGTCCTGGCCGCGCAGTGCGCACTCGAACGATCGGCATCCTGAAGCAGCTAGACCATAGAGCTTGATTCTACTCTTCCCAGAGCCTGCCTTCGTCGTCCTATGAGCGCCAAACTACGAGTCGACCTACCCCAATCACCTTCTGGCCGTGTCCGCGAGCTTAACTGGACACAAGCGGTCATGACCTTGCCTTTATCACTGCCGCTGGCGTTTTGAGGGTGCAAATCCACGGCCACCTCCGTCGCTCGAAGGTCCTAACGGTATGAAACCCAGGGGCCGAAGCCTTCTTAGCATCAACGGAGGAGTCCGCTCGGCGTTCTCTTAATGAATGAAGGTCACCGTTCATTGAACTCTCCTTTCTACGGGCCGTGCCGTCACCTCTCATCCCCTTCCCCCCAACCTCGGCTCTTGACGTGTGTGTGTGCTCCCCAGCCTAGAATTGCACCCCAATCATAACTTTCTTCGACCAGACCTCTTTCTGTACATGCCGTGTGCATTGAACGCTCGTGCCTCACCTCGTGACGGTGATTACATCAAACAAGCCTCACGGGAGGCTTTGACCCACTCCCGAGCACACTCTTCTCTTGGGATCCATGTTGCCAATTAGCCTCTACGAGCGGCCCTTCGCCAGCAGGTGCATGGAAGCGCACGGACAATGGCGCTGTCACTACGTTCGCGGAGTGATGGGTACCCTAGAACATGCTTCTGCGTGGTTTGCCAAAAATATTGAAGGAACGGGCTTGGCTCGTTGCCCTTTATTGGAAATTCTGGCGTTCTATGCACCTCCTTCAATTTCCGCTCTGTTCAAGACCCTGCGTCTCGTCTCGACGTGCTGCAACGTTGATTGACAAAGCCGCATGATATCGAGCTAGAGGTTCAGGGTCAAAGAACCGATCCCCTCGTCTTTGTCGCTGATACATTGTTGTCATTGATTCAGTTCCCTGGCATGTGCCAGACACTGGTCAGAGTTACTGCATTTAGGCTTGTCCCTCTGCGAAAAAAATACTCTCATTGTCGCCGTGAATCCCGACTGCAAAACTCTAGCCATGCCACATACTCTCCAACACATGCTGAGCACGTTCAATCGCTAAGGCGGTATCCCCAGTCAGCTTACCGACCTTTCCGGAAACTCGAGGCAAGTCCATGTGTCCTTCAAATAGCTGAATCGGGACGTCAACTCAAAAATCCTGTCTTTTTGGAATACTATCGCGCTTCTTCGTTCGATCTACTCCCGACCACCAAGTTCCTTAGTTTCTCCGCCTTGTTAGTCGTTGTGGGTTCGCGAGGCAATAGTCCTATTACCTCGCATCTCGCCTGTCATAGATGACCAGGTCACCCTCCCAAGGGCGACCGACAAAAATCAATTGGAAATCACCTGGCCGTGCCATCTTCGTTATCGCAATAAATCAGCATCCATCGTCGTCGCGGACCACTCTTGCGTCTGGTCCTTATGTCTAGCACCAACGTCTCTCGTCTTGACTTTTGCCACTGCGATTGGTCCGAGCCGTCTCGATTTTGCATGTCTTAAGCGGGGGTGCTTGGTGCCTCAGGCCCAGGTTCAAACCCTTGACGACCTGCCGGTGGTCGACTGGCGAGCCGGCGTTCAAAATATTCTTTGGTTTAAGTTCTGTGGCCCGATACGATATCGATCGATTTCTAACGGTGCCCAGGCGATATTATTGAAACTTTAGCACGCTACTCAAGAGCCGGGCGTCGCTATCATCGTCATCATCTATTATTTGGCACCTGGGTCTCGACGCTGACTCGTTGAGGCGACCTCTCATTCCGGCTATGCAACTTGGACCGAATGAAACTCAGCACCAAGGCTCGACCTGCCGTTCTTGTTATCGGAGTCTGTTCAACCTTGATCCTCTTACCTCTTATTGGGTGCGGAAACAACCCAGCTCCATTAACGACGAGCAATTGAATGATCAGGAATTTGTTTCACCACACAGTCAATGTCGGCAACTAATTAATCGTTCTACTCTGTGACAGGGATTTTTTCCCCTTCGCCCTCCGTTTTTCACCGTTTAATGAACCTCCCGATACGTGATCAGTGGATCAACATTCGGAGGATTAGGGATCACAAGCGTTTCAAGACCTACCTTTCTCGGTATGCTTCTGGATACCATGTGTTCTTGTGTGCGAGCTAGAGTTTGGCCGTTGAATGACTAACACGATTCTCCACTTTTGCTCAGTGTAATTCCATGGGATGTCGTAGCAAAGTAGTATTCGCCCACATCCGCAGTCCGCATCCCCCGAAAGAGCGGATGTGGACACCCGGAATCCAGGATATCCAGAGCGATGAGGACTCATACAGTCGTCATCCTTGACGAAGGTCCGGGTCCCAAATCGGCGTGCAAATGTGCACGACAAGAAATATTTTCAGATGTATGGGGTACAAAAATACACCGATGAGCTATCCTTGACGAGGCAAACCACGAAATTAGCACTGTCAGTGATAAAAATGCTGAGATGACACGGTGAAAAGTACCGGACGAGCCACTTCTTCTTGGAAGTGCACCAGCCTTGCCGGATTTATCTCCTCGAAGAAGCGTGAATGAGACCCGATGCAGAGAGGATGCCTCTCCCAGACACTCCTTTCGGGTTTCTTTCGAATTCCTCAATCCAGCAACACCTCCTTCGTGTTCTCTTCCTAGTGAACAGGGTCGAAAGGCTTGAGAACTTCAGTATTTCAAGTGTGGCGCACGCACTGAATTGTTGTCTAGCGGACCCACAATAATTGCCACCGCAAATCCGCTGTTGTGTTTTCCCGCGAGGAAGATATTCCTAGGCCCTGGCGGGAAGCGTATTCCATCTTTGGTTAAAGAGATAACAGCAAAGGCTTCAGTCACATAGTGATAGATCGCCAACCGGTATTCGATGAGAAGCCCAACTGCAAGAGAAGGACGGTAGACCCACCTCCGAGGCGATCAAGTTTACTGCATGCGCCTTCGGTGAGAGCCTGCCGCCTGAAAGATCTCCCTCGGGGTATAGAAAATGGCCCAAGTGTCCAGTTGGGTCCCAATCACTTCTTTGGAATTAGACTTCCAGGCTCTCTCAAGTCCGCGCACCCACCGACTTTCACTCGCCAGAAAAGCTCCGTGTAGTCTGCATTTGTCCCTCCCAAGCAAGAACCCACGTTCAAAAGCATATGCACCCATACGCCACTATCAACTCCTTCCAACTATGGACACAGATGGCAACCAATATAAAGCTCAACGTAACGCGACTCAGAATTGCCGAAATTCTCTTTGCCCGCGTCGATGACAACTAGATTCTTACGCGGTCCGGGCCCCAAGTCATATTTCTATTTATAGCTATTTCTTGGGACGCCGCCACACCGTCAAACGAGGACAGTTTTCTCACTCTTTCGGAGCTGTGCTCCAGCCTGGAGGCTGGATTCAAAAATTTCAGATGCCTACCCACGTCAGAAGAAGTATCCAACTTGTCCAAAGTACACCCCTGCCATCTTTCTAATTTCCCTTCGTGAAACCTATGCCCATTTGCCCATATGTTGATGTCGTCCAGCAAAGCTTGAGCACAAGAATCTGCAGAGAACGCTTCTATGAGCTTCCCCATCTCCAGCACGGGCCCACACATCATCTATCTTCCCTCCAATTGAATCCAGTCATCTTCTCGAGAGATATTTCCAACCCACTGTCGGTCATACGTCGCTCTTCGCCCAACAGCCACTTATAAAAGGTAGATGTGTAAGCAGAAAATATATCCGTACCTGGTCTGCCCACTGATGTCCCCGCTCACGTTAATCTGTGGCGTCTATTCCCGTCGTAGCAACCTGATGATGGCATCTACTGCGTCTTACTGCTTCTGAATGATGTCGATGGCACGAAGAGCGCTCACCGCGAGAAGGCCGGGCCCGTATGTGTAACGGACAAGTGGACACGAGCAAATTAGAATCCGAATTCAATAGCCAATCCCACTCAAGGGACGCGAAGGACACAAAGAACCCGCCGTATAGGAGCCAGTGCGTCGCAGGAGTATTTCAGGAGCGCAACAGGCAACAGACAACATAGACGGCCGTTAGTATGAGTAAGACACCTGCATAATATGTGTTGGCCCGCTGTTGATCGCACGCGTGAAGTCGCCATTGATATCTATCATCTATCTTCTCAAGGTTCCAAGCACACTTTGGCCACCTTCGGGCGCGCCTTGATATCAGAGAACGTTGGAACATAACCAGGCCCACTTTCAAGCCTAGTCTGCGAACTCCCACGGGCGCTTCGAACTTCGTTAGACCCATGGGCCATTTCCATGGACCGCTCGATATCTGTCATTGACACACTCCGATGGGTATGCCATGGAGGTCCCAGGAGGCCCATACGTCTCCGGACGTTCCAGGCATAGACGGTGTTCAAGAGCTGGTTCGTTTCGTCTTCTAGACCTCCCAACTCCGGCGAATTGTCGTTCTCCTACCACGACAAACCGCAAGCGAGCTCCATCTTACGGAAAAGAACCAATTGAACAGAATTAAACCACTTGACCCGCATTGTGCGACGTCCCTCAAGCGCTCGGCTATTTCATAGATCTTCGGAGAGACTGGTGGCCGTTCAGATTCAGAACACAGCTGTCCAAGGACGCAATAGTTCGCATCCCATGAGCACAAAATGCCATAATTCCCCTTGCCTTCCCACCGCTTGGCATTCTTTCGCCGCCGGCAGCCCACTTCTCAAGTTCGATATTATGTGAAACCCGAACATTCAAGCGGAAATAACATACTCATCTCCACGCGGCGGGGCTGCGGCTGGGCGCTTTTCCGGCACTTGTTTCCCTCATTATCAAGAGCGTCGATCAGTGTGGGCGTCAATTTCCTTTAGTTATTTCCGAGCCCCGTGGGTCGTGCACGGTGTATTAAAATGCGCACACGCCGACTGGCCCCGCGGGCCTTCCAGAAGAGAGAAGAGATGCTAAAAAGTGTGTTTAGGGCCTGTGGGTGCCATGTTCGCAGGGGAAATTTTCAGCAAACCCACATCGCTCAAAGACCACTTCTTGACTGCGCAGATAGCTCGGAGGTCGACGGCGAGACCAACAAAATCGTGAAGATACCAGGAAGGGCTAGTCCTGCGACAGCCAACCCCTAGCGTCGCTTCCCTGGCCGAGTAGTTCCCCATAAGGCGATCCGATGTCGCGTTTAGGCATCTCTGGCGCTCAGGTTTGGCAAGAAGTGGAGTCTGCCGGTGTCAGAGCAAGGAAAATTATGCGAGGGAAAAGCTAGGGTTCGAAATTAATAGGCATGGGGTGTAGGTTGGTAATGGTGCGTAGGGCCCGCACGATTGGCAGCGAGCAAGGTCGTAAGGAATTGAGCAGGTTGACAGTGATCGCCGTGAGTACACCACAATTCGAAAGAACAACGATAGTGATCAGAGAGGGCCCATGCTGAGGTTGTAAGACGATAGTGAGAAAATACTGTCTGAAAAGGCGCATCTTGAGGCCAGGGTCTCTAGAGCACCAGCTGACGTTTGAGCATTGAGAGGATTTTCTGCTTTTCCAAGCGAAATGAATATTACTCGTGCTCAATCTTCCACTCCGAAAGGACCCTCCTTTCCAACTGCTTGCTCTTTACTCTTGGTTCCACCTTCGCACCAAACTTGCGGACGATACAGATACAGCCTGCTCCTATTTGACAACACTACCTGATACACACTTGAAATAGAACGGGAGGCGGGCGCAGCAGTGGATACAAACGAACGGACGAGCATAAGTGGTCAGCCATTTTGCTCAAGAAAGGGGTATATATGCGCTGTGTAGGAGTGTAGGAGGCAGACGGGGTGATGGCGGCGATAGTGGTGGTGGTGGTGGTGATGGTAGTGGCAGGGGCATGGAATCAACAATCACGAAGAAGCTTCAATCATTGAAGACAACTGAATATCCCTAGCAAGAAGGTAAAACAAATCATTACTGGTATGCACGGATAGTCTGCGATCAACAAAGAAGAGAGCGCAACGAGAAGGAAGGTCCATGGGGAAATAAAAGGGATATAGTAGGCCTGTGGTCCAATAATGTCATGCGAGTGGAGAGCAAAAAAAGAAGCAACAGTAGCGCCATGTACATTTCCAGGGATGTGTGCAGTGCATGCTTTTTAGAGCGCAATCATGGCGGCTCCAGCAAGGCCAGAGACGACGATGGCTGCAAGGCTGCCAAGGGGCACGTTCAGGCCCATAGCACCGCTACCAAAAGTGGAGGGCGTGGCGGACGCCGTGTCGGAGGTGGTAGCGGCGAGGGAGTCGGTCGAACTTGTGCCCGTGGTGGTGACAATGTTGGTCGAGAGCCCAGATTGCGTAGTGCGAGACCTAGAAAATCCCAGAGTGAATTCAGCACACATCAGGAGTAGAAATTAATGAAAACGCACGTGGCAACCGTACTGCTTCCAGACCCAGAGACAGTGCCAGAGGTCGAGCCAGAGGCCGACGTCGACGTCGAAGTCACCGACGCGGTTGAGGCACCGATGGAGAACGAGCCCGTCGACGCAAAGACGTCGTTGATGTTGCCAATATTCACAGCCTCAAGGGTGTACCCGGAGCTGCACATCATCAGCTGCTGTAACGCCAAGAATAGAAGCAGAGTCTCGAAATACGTACCCAACGGGGACGATGGGGAGGGTGAGGGTGATCTGGCCTGCGGATGGGTTGACGTTGTTGGCGATGGCGAACGCATTGTTGAAGGCGGTGTTAATGAGCTCCAGGGAGAAGGTGTCGCTGCAGAGCCGAATGAGCGGCGTATAAGGTGGATATGGGTATAGTAGGCGACGTACAACGTATCGCTGGCTTCGTTGGTCCACCTAATGGTAACAGATCCTCCACTGGTGGGATTCTCTGGGATCTGGAGGACGAGAGCAGAGGCAAGTTGGGCGAGAAGGGCGAAGGGGCTGGTTCGGCAAACTTTCAGGTCAACACCCCTCTTTTTCGATACATTTCGTACACTCACATGAGCTTGCTGAACATTGTCGAACTCGTAAAGGCAAAAGACTGGAGAATTACTGGAGGCTCAGAAGGAAGAGAAAGGACACTGCAGTGAGAACAGTTGAACAACAGCGAACACTTGGCTGGGAAATTTATACCCCTCGATGCAAACACACGCAACAGTTCACACGACGGATCACGTCACTCCAGCTCCACTCTTGCGCACAGTCGGGCGCAAGACCAGCCTGCACGACGAAGTCTAAGACTCTCTAAGGCCATTTAAGAAGGTCCTAGATAGAGCAGGCATCCTCCTAAACGCTCAACTTCTACATATTGTGACGCTCTAAGTTTTTGACCGACCAATGAAACCAACCAGGCATCAATAGATCTGAATGACGCGACGGGCATGAGAACTTGCGGTGAGAAACTGGCGGAAAATAAAATACCTCGTCGAAAGGCCGCGTATCGTTGAAACAACTCTCCCAGACCTCGTTGACAGCACGCTCTGCCGCAGCTTCATTAGGACACGCAGGGTTGGCCTTCACAGATTCAATGGCTCGTCTTCGGACGCAGGCCTGCAGAAAAAAGAAGACGCGCGAATAAGAAATGATGAGAAGAGCCTGCGAAACGTCAGGGAAAAAAGAGCAAGGCGACCCACCTGATGCTGCTTCGAAAATGACACGAAGCCTCGGCGGAGCTCTCGTGTGTACCGACAGTCTCCGCTCAGGTTGTTCGCGCGTATCTTCGTGCTGGGATTAGAGAGGTGTGATATTAACGCAAAAGACGGTGGGTACACACCTCGCTGCAGGCATGATGCCGCAGGTTCGACCAGTCAACCTTGAAACGGCAGTGGTCGTACATGTGAATGAGCTCGTGCGTGATGGTGCTCTCCATATGTTGCTCGCTGAAGAACTGCCCTGCGCACAGGATGACAGCACCGGGATCCGGCGTAAAGCCTCCTGCCTGTATCCGGTCGCAAGGTGCGCAGAGGACATTGGATGGTGGGACATCGCATCCAGACAGTTTTAGGTGCTTCAGCATGAAGACTACGACAGGACCTACGCATAAAGTGCGCATATACGCGTCGTAAGTCCCCGCTGCAGGAGCCAAGAGCCCGTAACACGCACTGTAATTCATGAGATATTCCTTTTTCTTCTCGCAGGCCTCGATTTGCGAGATTTGTGTGTTCTCCAGACGTTCACTATCGCTTAGTCCGAGGCCAGTCGCGAGCATAGCCTTTCTGCGCCATTTTTCAAAGGCGCTGCCAGGTTGTGGGGTGGAAGGGAGGGAATCCTGAGGGACCTGAGGAGAGGAGGAGTCGTTCATCACCAACCAGCTCTTCGGCCTCGGTGGGACCTTTTCCTGATTCTTCCCACGATCGTTCTTCCCGAAAAGGCATCTGCACCCGAGTGGTCTGCCAATCAGAATCATTTTCTGTTCTGCACCTACAGTTTCTCCCATCCGTCAACGCCTCCAATCGTTGCAAAAACAGAAGCAGAAAAACGAACGCAAGGTGTTTGACAAGATTTCATTCAACGTATCAGCGCCGGTGCCCTCGGTTTCTGGGCGATCCATTCTCGAAATCTAGGCACTTTTTCTCAACTTTTTCTTGAAGGTTTCCGGTGGAAAGTGAATCTTGCAACCTTAAAGTGTGTGCCTTTGCGAATACCTCGGCGAAACTCAGGCTGTTACTTGAGGCTATTTATTGACAGTTGGATTGCCATTGGACGGTGGACACGACATAGTCGATTCAACTGGGCTTTTCCTCTCCTCACGTCATTAATGAAGCTACCCCCAAACTACATGGGAACTTTGGAAACACTGTCAACGACTATCGAGCAGGCTCGACGGCATTCACCGTCAGCTAAGTCTGTCATGCTCCATGAACCACTGGCTGGATCTTTTACAATCGCCGGGAAGGACTACGTTTCGAAGGAAGCAGGAAAATTTGTCGATGTGGACCCTATGGAGTACAACCATCGGAGACCCTGCCAAACCGTGGCGTCCTCATCATGATTTCGTGCACTTACCTCAGGCCACCATCCTCGGGTTGGTCGTTTTTGAAGTCCAGGACCACATGGACTTGGACGATTGCATCCACAACGAATCGTTCTGCTGTACTCAAACCCGAGAAATTTTCGCGCTATACATCGGGGCCTCGTCCGCCGGAGAACAGGTTCTATGGCAGTACGAACACAAGGAACCCCGGATAATTCATCCCCGACTGGATTAATTTTGACGCCTTCTACAGCGCTGCTCAGGACTCAGGGGGGCCTCGACAGCCCTCGAGCATGCATCAGTCATCCCGAAAATCCTTCAGCCTTGGAACAGACAAGAAAGAAGCGCTCGGCAGGAGCGTGCGCCAATAAGCAGCCTGTATTATTCCCCATGGACGACGTTCCGAGCACGACAGAGCTCGAGACTCCGGACCTCTGCACCGCGTTTGGGGTGGATCATCTGTTTTCCGAAGGCATAGAATATGTACCGACTGCCCCTGCCTTTCGCCCCGAGAAGGCGGTCGGCTTGGCCTCGTTAGGGATCGGTGAAGATCCAACCTGGACCCGCTCATGCAGAACGTACACCGCATTCGAATGCGTCAGTCCCACGGACTAAACCGGCGGGATGTTGGCATTGTTGGGCTTTATCTGCCTATCTAGGCTCCCAGGAGTCGAACCCGAATTCGTACTCACACCAATAGCAAACGAACGAACGCTTCGAAGGTTCGCGCACCTGTCAACCCGCGATAGCAAGCCAGCTCACGAAGGAATCAACAGCTACCTTCCAAATTCGCATCCGCCTCAGCTGCGCTGTGCGCCTGACCTGACAATCCGCCATTTACTTGCCAAGCCCATAGTATGGCAGGACGCCAAAGCCTGAAAGCCCTGATCAGTCGCAGGGTGCCTTGCCGATACCTGTGCGTGCACCCGTCCGCACGCTGCACGCGGAACACCCTAGCCCATAAACTGACATTTCCTTCCTTTAGAACTTGCCCATCTATTCGCGACCCTAGCCTTCACTCGTGCTTCCTCAGGCGCGTCATTGGGATGGATGACAGTGACAGCCTGCTAGATGATCGCATTAGCCGAGCCTCTGAACGCGAGGCCCTATCCAGAGGAGACAAGGTCCTTCGGAGAATGCCAGAGAGATTTGAAGGCCCGCCGTCAACCTGATTCAATCCTAGTCGCGTCTGTAGTGCTCCACGGCTAGGACTTAGTGAGCGCTCCCACCCTTCTCCCAGTATTACTGTAATCTACCCAGCGTGTACTAGGAAAAGGTGTCAAACTCAGGGGGATGGCGACTAGGTTATACACCGGCGCTGTCGTTGCTCCCAGCGCTCAGGAAGGTTCCCAAATTTCTCAAGTATTCATAGGGACATTGTTTCACACGGGCATGCACAATTAATATTAAATTCAAAGGTGAGTTAAGGTGAAAAGAAGCTCTATTATGTGGGATTGATGACGACGACCTGCTGCGACGCCCGCCCGTCCTGCTCTTGCTCTCCTCCTAGCAGGCTTCTCGTCTTGAATGGATGGAACGGTGCGCCCGTCGCTCGACCCGGAGTCATAATTCACAATCCAACTATCCTCGTTTAGAACCCACAATGCGGCCGCCTGAACGCTCTATTTCAACCCATCGAGGTCATTATAATGATAAGTGCCATCGACGTATGTATCTTATCTCCAATTCGTACTCTCCTACCCGCAGTGTGGCGCAGTACTCCAGCGCTCCTTGTTAGGCACCCATCATTCGGCGCTCCACAAAAATTTCCTCGACTGCTTTTCCACAGCCCCACCACCCGACGTCTCACCGACAGATTTGCTCCACCTGCATCGTGTTAACAAGACGAACTTGAATAGAGGACTGAAAGGATGCTCACTTAATCCAGCAACTGCTATCTCGGGCAGGTCCCCCAACAGGTCTGCTCAGTCAGCATCTGTGACTGTGATAGACCCCGGCGGCTTGGAAGAAGGAAAGAAGGATAAACGACTTATCTCTATTTCAATCGCGAAGCTGCGTAGTCAGTGAGAACGACTTCGATGACGGCGCTTCTGCGTGGCGAATATAAGCCAATAACGCCCTTTTCGTCACTCACCTCATCCAAACTTATCTGATTAGCAGGATTGGCTGCCGAACACTGGCATATGATCCTGTAGTGGTAGCGGATCTATGGACCACCTATTTCTGGACAACGCTTGGCGGCATCACAGTGCGCGCGCGTCGCCGGCGAGAGAGCGTATCAGAACGAGCTGCGCCCAATGGGAATTAGTCGCCCTCGCGGACTCGTTTGAAAGTATGTATGTAGTTTACATGTCATCGACAAGCGGCTATCGAGGAATGCCCGGGCGTGCGGCCTTCCAGTGATGCCCAGAATAGAACTGTTGCCGTTTTCGTGGCATCCACAATAACCTGGGCGGTCTGGATCCCTGTTCCGCCTGCGAGGTCGAGGGAAAGTGAGAATACTTGGCCCTCATCGTGCGTTTCTAGATTCTGGATGAACAGCTTAGGTCCCTTATCGTTGTCAGCCTCCGAAAATGAGTTCTCTAGAGATGTTTTCCCTGCCCAATGAGCCAAACGTGTACATAAAGTGTACGTGCTACAAGCGCAGTGCAGAATACGTATCTAGTATAGTAGGAAGAAAAGAAGTGATAGCCATATAATACCAGACATTCACATAATTCAGTTCATTGTTTGACCGTTCACGCTCACTTTTTGCGGCATTGCCAGGTGATCGACGGCTGCTTTTGATGGATTCAATTCGAAGTGTCGCGATCATGCAACTATATCTGAAGGGTAAACTCCGTAGTATGTGGCGGTTCCTCCCTTCGGGAAATATCCCCAATCGAGTAAAGGGATAAGTAAACTGCTAGAAGGTGCACAATGGGCCCTTATAAGCTATCCTTGTTCATCAACTTGCCCGCGTGTTGGATTTCTCCACGTAACAAGAATGGCTGTCGAAGTCCATGTGCACAATCCATTATCGGGCACTTGACCCCTCCTCCGTCAACATCGTACATAAGAATATTTTTTCCCAGTGGTTCCATATGCATATGCCTGACTAGGACACGTCCACGTCTAACCTATTTTCGAGCTCTGTCAAGTTGTCATTCATAATTGATTGTGTGAGGCAATGTGAAAGGCGAGTTCACTAAGGATGAGTTCACAGGATTCTTTTCCTCCAATCGCTCTAGAAGCACACGATATAGGCCCCTGTCGCTGCCGCACGTATGTCAAGAGTAGACAGCGATCATACACCGTGAACAAGTCAAACGACTCGCGTCATTTGTTGAGCTAGAGACAAATATTGGCTGTTTCCCCTGCCTCCCCTGCAGCAGGTGGCTTTCCGCATCTTCCAGGAACTAGAAGCTTTGGAGCGCCATCGTGCAGGTCACTGTATTATCTATTCTGCAAGGTTTCTCCGGCACATGTGCACGGATAATTTCAGCTAAAAACAAACATCCTATAGTCATTCCGGGTCCAAATACCGCTAGAAATGCTCTCCCAAAATTCCTTACTCCGTGTTTGATGACTTCCTAGTACACGTAGTACATCTTCGGGGCAAGCAAGCCCATCTCAACATTACCGCTCCTCAATCAGAATCATCCTTCGCACACGAGAGCCTCAAATCCGAACGGCTGATGAGAACCACCACCAACATGATTACGATCACAGACCTAGATAAAATTAAATGCGGATGCGCAAGGTGTACGTATTTACCTTTCCCCTGTAAGCAGAAGAATTCGCGGCCAGATCGCTGCAAGTCGAAGGGGATGCCGTTAGACGCTACTTGCCCATGGGGGTGATCCAAACTTTTGTGACGTCCTCAGTCCGGTGATTTCGCGACAGCGAAAGGGTGTCAATTGCGTACGGCAAGTCCCAGCCAATGTGAAGTGAGGGAAAACCATCGCGGTACGTACTGCGTTGCCAGCTTCCCATTACATGCCCGGGTCGAGCTATCGCTGGGATGCTCCTGCTGGAATAATTAACTCGGGTGCGAGGGTTACGATGCAACCACCCTCGTTTCCATCTCTTCGTCCAGGAAAGCGGTACATTAACTTTTTAGTGAAATAGTTTGATCTCGGGATGCTGATACGGGTATCTCCGTAGGCAAAAACAATGTCGTCTAACTTCAATCGTATGTCTTTGAAACACGAGCGTGTCAGGCTGCTAGCCCATAGCGCGCCGCAGCTTCAAGCCTTCAAGCCTTCAAGTCTTAACGAGCCTGCAAGCACCCCATTTCCACGATCGATCTGAAACTTTGTGTATTCTTGAATACTTTCCGTCCCTCTCCCGCGCTGTCACAGCTATTCAACACCACCGACGCGCGACCGTGCTCCTGGATTTCCAGTGCTAAGCTCACCTCGCGTCCCCGCGGGTATGTGTCACGCCCAGACTAGCCGTGACTGCGCCACACGAACGATCGAGGCCAGCACAGAAAAAGTCCCACGTCCGATTCTGTCCCAATTCAATCCCCTTGCCCCTCCTGTAACCTTAAGCGCGGCAAACGCAATGTCCCGACTGTATTAGAACACTTATACGTCTTCTCATAGATCTCCAACGCCGAACGATGACATTCCGTAAGCACCCAAGAGGAAAACGAACCGCGAAAAGCTGCAAGCTGATGTGGGTGATGCCGAAGTAGCGAACCAGTGATCTAAAAATAGGTCGATATCAAGCCTCTTTGGCTTTTCTCTTCAGGCACGCGAACGAGGATACGCGCAGGTATCTATATCATCGAGTGTTATGGTATGCAGGCCAAGAATCTGCGATGGTTGTGTTGTATGTTTTTCCACCGCCGGTCTAATTTCGACGTATCTGCGATAGGCGTTCATACCAGCCTTCACAACGGCGGTTCAACATTCAATCTTCACCCTTTTCCATCGCATTTTTCTCTCCGGTAAAACAACGGGCAGACAAGATGCGGTCGATAAATTAATGATGGGCGATCGTTCAAATATTTACAAGTTACAACTTGGCGGGATTGGTCCAAACCGGAGTGCGTTTCTAGATATGTCAAAGGTATCAATCCATGCCGTGGTGATTGATTTGCAAAAAAATGCTGACCTCGGCGAAAGCCTTGAGGCCTTCTTTGATATTCTGTCCTTTATACACCTGTTTGCTCTCCGGACTTTGCACATGCTGATATAGCGTCTCAGAGTGGCCTAGGCGCTGTGAGAGGATCAGAGCGTGCTTCGTCGACTGCACAGCGTCGGGTGAATTGGCGGTAATTTGCTGCGCAAGTGCGATCGCAGCACTCAAAACAGAGGGCGCGGGTACAAGGGTATTAACACTGCGCGGTCGTAATTGGTCAGCGGGGGCGGAACTCAAAAAATTTGGACGAAAAGGAAATCATCAAATGGAAGACGAAGCTCGTCTATAAGCTACACCCAATCATGGCCGTTGAAGAATCAGCGCCCAGATAGATGGATCGCTGGATCCACGAGTAAGCCCGCGGCGGGACCCACAGACGGATGAAAGGCGATCAATAGACAAGCTCGAAGCCCAAGGAGATTTCTAGGAATGGAAGAACAGCGCCGAAGACTCTCAAAAAGAATCCTGCCTTGGGAACGCGAACACAGATAGGTAATTTCAAAGAAAAGAACACAGGAACGAAAAAGACACGGAATCCAGATCATTTTTTAATCTGAATACTCGGGGGTTGCAGAGCGCCTGAAGAGAACGAAATAAGAAAAAAGTTCAGGCGGGGAAATATTAGACTCGTGATAGCCTCGTAAGACAGCTGTGGATCAGTCATCGGTTGGGCGACATGGGTCTATCCGAATGACCCGAAAAATAATAGAGAAGACGGGCTTGCGCTGACCACACGAGACATGACGAGTGGACTTGGTTCAATCGGCCTGTCGAGTCCTGGGAACGCCTGGGATATGGAGTGAAAGGCGTCACGCATTGAGAAAGCAACCAGTCAGCACAGACACCGGGGCTTCTAGCGTGTGCTGCCGGGTCAACGCAATTATCAAATTTGTGCGTGCGCCGAACCCGGAAGGAGGAGCGAGCATAGAAGTTTCACCACGGTTGACAAGAGAGAGAAGAAAAGAAGGAAGAGGGAGAAGACGCGAAGGAAGTCAACAGGGAGCAGAATCACTCACAATCCAAAGCGGTCCCGAGCCTCAACGGCAGTTATTGTCTTGCCTGTCAGGAGCATCTCCGAGGCACGCTAGATGGGGGACAAGACGCATTGAATTGGTGGGAGAGTGGGAGAGATGAAAGTCAGCGTCAAGTCATCAGTGATCATGAAAAGTCATGGAGTGCGGTAAGGATGAAAAAAGGGTCGGAGGGCAGTGTCCGTCGCGTCCCATCCTGTCGTGGGCGGGCATGGAAGGATTCAGGAGTGGCAGGAACCAAGCAGATTGCAGGTCTAGAGCAGTTCGACTCGATTGGAGGCAATAGCAAGCAATGAGCAGCCGCGAGAGATGCGGGAGGCACGTCGATGGGGTTAGAAGCAAGGTCTAGCGGCCTGGGTACTCAGGTGCACACCATGACCCTCGCTTGCACAGCAGTTGGCGCCCGTGGAAAGTAATTGACCGGGCCCGCCTCCATCGGCGTTCAAATTTCCTGCATCTAGGCCATGAACACGTCTGCGCCTTGCTTCCCTCCTTCCCATCCCCTTATCCAAACGTAAACCAATCAACAAAAAGAAGCTTGAACGCACTTGATGTCCGACGATCTGCGTCAACCTCGGGATGCCGCCCTGGATCGCAACGACACCCCTCTTCACCTCAGGAAGAGCAAACTTAGCGTCGTCGGCCGCGACGACAAGATCGCAGTTAAGAATGAGCTCCATGCCGCCGCCGTACGCACCCCCATTGACCGCGGCGATGATAGGCTTGACGGACTGCCGTCGTGAGACGGAGGCGAAGCCGTGGATCGCTCGGAGGACATCTGAGGTCTCGTTCGAGGTGTTGGACTGCTGGTCCTTGTTCCATCTAGGTACAGAAGGAACGAACAGCGATTAGCACAGGATTCGTGAAGCCAAGAATAGCGGTGGGCACTGGAGATGAAGAAAACGAGCGCGTAGGCGGATGAATCCCCCTGGTGCGCCATCTCGTGTGAATGCATGAATGGGAATGATAACGGTGTTTGGGGAAATGAGAGATAGCTACGCACGCAAGGAGGTCCGCACCGGCACAGAATAATCGCCCTTCGCCTGTTATGATCACGACCCTGGTTGATAATGAAAGTTCGTCAGCGCACCCGTGCAATCAGCATGCGAGTTTGCAAATGAATTGGAGGAGCAGAACGTCGAGTAGAACATTGACGAGGAGTGAGAAAGATTCAGCAAAGGGTCCACCCGCGACTGGTCGGACTCTAAGAGGACATCCCGACGCATACATTCCAGGAGGATTGAATGAGACCGAATGTAAACGAGAATAACACTCACCAGAGTTCTGGCTCCTCTTCAAACCAATCCAAAAGCCTCGTCATATCCTCGGTCATAGTCGGTGTCATCGCATTGAGCGACTTCGGCCGGTTGAGGGTCAACAGAAGGACATGAGGGGCCGGAATTGCAGCTTTCACTTCGCTCGAGTGCTTCGGGGGTGTGAGCTTCGTCTTTGTCGGCGCCATCTTCAAATCCTGTTCGCTGTCGCGATGAATAGGCGCATATTCATGCCCGCACCAAAGCAACAAGCTAGTACCCACCTCAAGGTACAGTACACTCCTAGAAGGTCTCGGTGGTCTGTGCGCACAATAGCGGAACTTCTAGTGCTTCTCGCGGTCAATACGGCATTCAAGGGAAAGAACTAAGGGTCGAAAGGACGCACCGTCAGTCCGTCGCACTTGTCAGCTCTCTTTCTCCACACGAATGTGGGGAAACTGCGTTGACGATCATGATCACTCCTCCCTCTTGGTTGCAGTCGAGTGTGGGGAAAACCGAGCGACAGTGAACCGGTGCCGGCTATTGACTGGTCCGTGTGCCGGTTTGCCGGAAGCCGGTTCGGAATTGCCTTACGGCAGAGCGGGGGCATTTCCCGGACAAGCTCTTGTTTTCCGCCTTCATCATCATACATACATCGAACCCGTCTCCTTCTGCCTCCGTCCCAACGGAAGAAAGGAAGAGAAGCAGCTCCTGACGAACGCCTCGCCACTGGCTGCAGGATCGACGCGATTGACACTGATTGTCGTTTTCTAACAGAACAAGAACGGAGATAGGCAACGACAAGTCTGATAGCACACAATCTGGGCTCCGAGTTGGCCTCGATGACCGATCTGCTTCGCTGCCAACGTTAGGGCGAAGGAGAGACCGCTCTGAGCGTTTATGACAAGCGGTCTCTCCGTCCTTTCATAGCGCAATCTTCTTGATGGGTGAACCCTATGCGATCTATCACCACTTCCGTCCCAGAATTGCTACCATCTAAGCCCGAGTCAAACATGCAGGCAGGTTCGTGTCTTCTGGGCGAACACACCGCTAATTTGGCGGAAATTTCGAATTCGTTGTTGTGGATAAGGTGGAGTTTTGGCACTGAAGTTTTTGTACTTGCAGTGTTTGCACAGCGTCTCCGTACGCGTGTTCCATTCCCTGGGGTCCATCATCGTCATCATATTGGAAGAGGAGCGAGCCTCGAGGCGTGCAATACAATTAGCGCCAACGTGCGAGCGTCACTAATATTCTGCACTTGTATTCCGATGCGCAACGTGTTCAAAACAGTGGTCCCAGCTTTTAGGTGCGTGCATGCTCCGTTCATATCCAACGATCATCGCACTCATCTCAGGTAACCGCAGCGTCAGGCCTTCCAAGCTCACGGTATGCCGTCATCGATTCCAAAGCGTTCCAAGGTCTCTTCTGCCCGTCCCAGGCGTCTCGCGCAAGCGACACGATAATCATTATCTTACATACGCGGAGCCAGCTATTGGTCTTGCTTCAAACAAGTCCCCGAGCGCTCCGAGGAGCTGAAGAGCACGAACGGTGATTCGGAGAGACGGCTCGACTTTGCGGCGTGCTCCGTTGGAGCGTGTCTCTTAACCTGACTTTGGTCGTGGTTTGCGTCACGCACAAGCACACCTCGTGTCGGGTCTGCTCAACGAGTTCGAAAGCTTACGGTTTGAAGCTCAAGTTAGAACTTGCCTTGTATCATGATCATTCCGAGGGAACCAACAACGATGCCACGAGCCCGCAATGATGCATTCTGATACATCATCGAAATTTCCCTCATCGTTCATCGCTCGTCTTCTTTCATCTTTCCATCTCACCGCACTCACACTCACATTCGCAGGCAGGCAGGCGTGTCCGCCAATGCCATGAATGATGATAGGCATTCCAGATTCCGAAGTCCTTCCAATTTCCAATTTTCTGTTCTAATTTAATTTTTAATTCTCTCGCGCTCGCGGGTTTCTCTTTGCACTGCGTTCCCAGCGGCCAGGCTTCAAGGCTTCAGCTTTGCCGAACTTTCTGCCTCACTCTCATAACACGTTCCTCTCTTGCCTTTCTTGCGTCCTTCTCTCTCTGGCTCTGGCTTCTGTTCTATTCTATCTGTATTCTGAAGCTCTGTTAGCGTGCTTGCGTTCGAATTCTCGTTCTGGGTCTGGGTTCCTGAGGGCGGATTATTGATCATGGGTTCTCTGTGGGTTCTCTAACGAGATGCGCGTCCCCAATTCGACCGCTAATGCGGGGCACGGGAGCGGTACAGGCGGACGCTGAGAAGGCGAAGTATATCCCACTGGATGCCGCCAATCGCGTGCTGGGGACGAGGCGTATAGAAGACGCACCAAGTAACGAGATGACTGTGCACCTATCAAGCCGTGGGGATGCGAAGGAAAAAGGATTCAGGGAAAAGGTCCAGAATATGGGATCCAGAACTGAGGTTGAGGTTGAGTCGCCGTGTTCTAAATCGCCGCGCGTGGACTTCACGAAGACGAAGAGTTTCGGACGGACAGACGTAGGTTTCTACTAGAATCGAGAAGGTGAATCAGCCAGAACACCGTCGCGGCTGCGGTCGCGGTCTGAACACGGACAAAAACAGAAAGCGAGCCACTGGATCCTCTCAGTACGAGTACGCATCTGTTTGCATCTGCTGCATCTCCATCGCGTTCTCGTTCTAATCCACCTTCGCGTTCTGGTTCTATCTACCCAGACCGCGAAGACCTTCCTGAGACCTTCCTATTCTCCCTGTCTCTTTCTAATATCTATCACTCCAAGTTCTAAGTGAGTACAATCACTATCAAGCATCACTATCAGTCTATCATTCGTCTGTTTCTTCTACTAAGATCTGTTCGTCAGCACGCAACGTGTGTGTGCGTGAGCGTGTGAGTCCGGCGAAAGGGTTTGGGCGTGCTGGATCATGAGTGTTCTGAACTTGAAGCTTGGACTTCTGTGTTTGTGGCGCAGCTACGTAGGAACGTAGGTAGCAGTAGTCTGCAGCTCGTTTGTACACGGGCGTATTCCTACACTCGAATTGGGAGGGGTTGTGAAGGCGAAGTCTTGGAGTGGAAGTACCGCCAGGAAAGAAGAAGGATAATCCTGCTGAGTATCTTTCCGTGAACTGTGAATCAAGTGAACTTGGTGAAGCACGTGAAGTACACCAAGTGCGTCGGCGTCAATTTCAGTCAGACTTAGAGGCCCACTAAACACCACCAACCGCCAATATAGACCACCACAACACGATGCGCGGAGTAAGGAGAATGATGCTGCAGTTAGTAATTCCGTCGTCGCTCAAGGGTACAGTAAGCGAAAGTCTCCTAAGACGACCGCCCGCTGTGAATTTGTGAAGCAAGTGAAGAGACCTGAGTTCAAGGCGTGCGTCGGCGTCATTGTTTTCTAACCATGCGTAACGCGCGAGGCGGGTCCATTCGTGTTCTAAGATGCCAGTGACGGCTCATGGTCATAAAGTTATTATCACTCCAATATCACTCACGAACACAATATTCTTCCCCAAAGGTAAATGCATCCAGACCGCAGATCGTCGGCTGCCATCCTCTGTTTATCCTATTCAAATCCTATCCTATTTTAAATTCAAACAACTCATCTCACCTCACCTCACCTATTCTCCACTTTTCTCTTTTCACTTTGCTTTCTCTCCTGAAGTTTGAGCTTGAGCTCAAGTCTACTCGACTGCAGCTGACGGACGAGTCGACGGTGGAGGACGCTAGCGCTTTTTCGGACTCCCATTCCCTCCCTCTCCCCTCCCCTCTCCCACCTCCCTCTCCCACCTCCCCGTCCCACCGTGCGAACAAACCAAGTGGCGCAGTCCCGATCGCCCATCCCAAGCTGTCCCAAATGGTCGATCAATGATCAGTGGTATTCAGTGGTGCGCCCCACAGGTCCACCGTCCACCGTACCGACCATCGTTCCTAGTCCAAGTGTCTCCAATGGTTACCAGGAACCCGGGGCGGAGCAGGGCTTGGATTGGCGAATGCGGGCCTGCGGCGTCGGTAGACCGTACTTGGGTGGATGGGATGGGATGGGATGGTTGTTGACGTACTGTTTTAGGAGGCCGGGGAGATATGGATACCGGCCGAGAGACCGACGAGGTTGTCGGCATTCGTGCGAGAGGGAAAAGGGAAGGGGGAAAGGAAAGGAAAAAGATGAAGGCTGCCGTCGGCGGGCGCCACAAATATCGAACACATGGGTTCGAACTTCAGACAGACGGAACGCATGATGGTCCATCTATTTCTCGAAATTTCGCTACATACAGCCTTTCGGAGGCCTCTCGGAATAAACACTCACCGCTACTTGATCGTACTCTACTCCGAGTCGAGAGTCGATGTCATACATGACGCACTCGCGCTCCAACAGATCAACGTTAACTCACTAATCCCAAGATGTGCTCTCGGACTCGGAGTCGGAGGCGAACAGGTTATCGATGCCGTTGGCTTTACGACTCCCGTGTTCGCTTCCTCGGCTTTGAGTCTTGGCCTTTCCTCCGCTTTTCACCTCGCCTCACATCACCTCTACACCTACCCTCGTTCCCTCTTATCTCGGCCTCGGATTCGGACAACGGAATACCAGCACTACGCAGCACAAAAAAAGTCTGGAGGACCAAGCTTATCTTATCTCCCTCCCACCTGATCTAATCCGTGATCGAGTGTATGATGCGATCACTGATCGTCTCTCCCGTCTCCCCAGTCTTGTCCCGCCCGCCCGTCAAATCAAGACGCCGAGCGCCCAAGTTCCGAAAGCGCAAGGTTTTTTGGACGGCGTTCCGCCCGGCTGGACCTCCCGCTCCCCAAGGACCCAAGCCAACGTCCTCCCGGAGCCTCTTGGTCATTTGTGTATTGAATAATATTCGTTTAGCGGGCTTATTTACTCGGTCCATCGGAGACGCACGAACACTGGCAATGGCATCATGGTCCACGAAAAGTGCCCACGCGCTACACTATTTCAATTTCAATTTTCAACAAGGCCTTGCGGGCGCTGGGCGGCGTGCTGCGACGGGACCAGGTGCTCGTGCTCGGCATGTCTCCGAGTAGCAACGCATTATCGTACCAAGTGCGTCATCAGGTCAGGTCCGAGCAGCGTCCGTCATCCGCCATCCGTCATCCGAGCCTCGAGGCAGCTCCAGTCGTAGCCGTAGCCGTTGATTGTCCCGGAAGGAAGCCGGAGGCTTGGATAGTTCAAGGAATCCGTGGTGTTGTTTTATTCGAAAATACCTCAAGGCTAGCCGGAGTGAAGTGCGGAGTGAAGGTGCAGTGCACCGTGCACAGGTAGTTAAAAACAAACGGGTAAGAAATAGACAGCAGGAGGACGCCATCGACGTCACTAGCACTGAGCGCGCGCGTTTTACTTCGTGTTCGTCTTGGACGCTGTCCAAGGGTGTCGATGCCAATTAGACTTCCATTCTGATGATCCCATCCCGGTCGCCGCTCCAAGTCCAAGTCGCAACACATACGTACAACCCAAGTCCGACGTTCCAAGATGAGTAAAGCAAAACAAAACGCGAACAGAGAACAGAGGACAAAAAGCTATGCGATATCGATGGAGCGTACGTAGGTGTCGTTATACTCGTACTCCTCTTCGCTAGGGCTCCAAGAAAAATCCGGAGCTCGTCGCTTGAGGAAAGCACGGAGGTCGAGGGAAAGTTCGGTGCGGCCCGTGCGGGGTGGGATCCGGGGCTTGCAGCTTGCGGAGGCATGCAGGTTACCTTTCATGGACTTTCACTTTCCTTTGTTTCTCTCCTGGTGTTTTTTTTTCTCTCAGCTCCCGCGTCCGAGTCTTTGCATTTTTACTTGGTGTTTTTTTTTCTTGCCTTTTCTCTTGTCTTTTCTCTTGTGCTCGTTGTCCCTTGTCTCGTTGATCCCACGGACCTCATATTTCGGATGAGTCCCGCCCTCATCCTCGTCCCGTCGCTGATGCTACGGTGATCAAAACCCATCATCATAATGCTGCTGTATAATGCGGGGTAAATAAGGTGTACGGTGTGGTGCACGGTCGTTAGGGCAAGGGCACGGAGGCACGGAGCGGGTTCGGGGGCGGAGCGATGGGACGAGTGATGGGACGAGTGTCCGGAAGAAGTTCCGGTGAGATATTAGGATTAGATTATCTCTCGCGTAGATGCGAAGGACCTAGGGAGAACAAAAGAAAAAAAAAGAACAGAGAGGTTGGGCGGGGCAGAGGGCAGAGGGTTAGCGAGGAATGAATTAACGAGGTTTGAAGAAGGGCCGGGCTGATCAAGCGGGTGTGAGAGGGACGACGAGAGTACAGGTCCGGGAGAGGGTGGAGTTGAAATTTTTGCATATATAGTCCAACAACACCGAGTTCCCAAACTCGCTTTCTCTCATCCCAAAAAGTGAAAAAATGCATCATATAAAAGACGTTGCTAAGATACTGTCTCGTACTCGTACTCGTATTCGTATTCGTACATATACATGGGACGAAAAATGGATATTATGGAGACTTCATATTCAATACAAGCTGTACAGTGTGTGTGTGTGGCTCCTCGACCCGTTGTGCCTCGACTCTGAATCGTGTGCTTCCTCGACTCTCAACCCTCCAGTGACCTCCAGAGACGAGTCCGGAGTCCGAAGGGACCTCACCTCGCGGACCTCGGTGTGGTGTGGACGGCTCAGGCTCCGGCGCTCCGCTCTCCATTCTTCGTACAAACAAAAACAAGAAAAAGATGGGGAAAAGTGATGATGGTGAAGATGGGGTAAAATAAGATGGGGTAAGGGATGGTGATGGAAGAAAAAGGAAAGGTGTAAAGGGAAGTGAAAAGACAAATGATGTATAGTGGAGAAGGAATAGTGAACGATGGACAAGGGAATAGTGAATAGTGAATAGTGAATAGTGAAAGCAGGCGCCGACGTCGGGAGGGTGCACGGGTTGGGGAAAGGGGGTGAAAGGGAGAGGTGGTGTGTAGGTGTACGAGGGTGGTATGTCGATGGTGATGTGCAGACGTCGAAATAACCCTCCCCGCTCCTGACCCAACCTCGTCGTGTGCGTGTATACGACCTCCGACCTCCATTCTCCGAGTCCCTCCAACAACGAGAACAACACCAACCTGAGGGTCATGAGACCGACGACGCGAAAGGACACGAGGACAAAGCGATGACGACGCCGATGACGAAAGGTGTGATCGACGGCGTATGAGTCAGATCGGTGTTCAAATTCGAGGGATCTTCAATGAACTTCGTCGTCCGGGGTGATGGTAAGTGGTAGAGGCGAGACTCGGACGCGACGTGGGGCGATGGCGACGGCGGGTGCATAAATAGATGTGGAAAGTGGAAGGTGGAACTTGGGGATGCTGGGACTAGGCAGGACCGGGCCCATGTCGAGAAGGGGAAGGCGAAGTGATAGAGGTGAGGGTGAAGGGTGAAAGTCGAAGCCGAAGGGTTATGAAAGGGTCGGAGGATATGAAGAGTCGGAGGGCTATGAAAAAGTCGAGAGGGTGAAAGGTTCAGACGGGGTAGGCGGGTCGAGGCGAGGGCGAGGGCGAGGGAGGCGTTACTAGCATAGATAGAGTGCAGGATATGGGGAAACTTGGGCTTGAGGAACTTGAAAGCGAGACGAGCAAGACGAAATGCTGGGACATGAGATAGAGATCGAGAGAGATGCAAGGCGAAAGCTGAGCGTGAAAGATGCGATGCAAGAATACAACTGCAAAGGGGTACATGTGAGCACGCGACGGACGATGAAAGGACGAGGAGGACGACGTACGAGGTAGGTAGGGTTGTCTACCTGAAGGGGCAGTTGGGGGAGTGGGCTCCGCGCCAGCCGCAGTGGCAGCACTGGGGCGAGGAGTGGTTGATGCAGTCCGAGACGAGCTCGGTGTGGGTGTTGGTGCGTGCGGCGGGGGACGCGGGCAGCGGTGAGGGCGACGACCCAGCAGCGGAGGCAGCAGCGGTGGTAGACGAGCACATGGTACTTGGTTGGTTGGCGGTGGTTGTGGTTGGTTAGAGAGGCTTGGCTCGATGGGATGCAAGTTGGGGGGGATGAGATGGAAAGACTGGAGGGCACCGCGAGCAGTCTTTATAGACGGATAGAGATGGCTTTTGTGGCGTACCTAGTGGCCGTCGGAGAGCGAGTCCCGTGGCTCCGTTCGCGCCGTTGATATGACAAACAACCCATCCTTGGGTCTCTCCAGTCTCTTTTTTCCATTCGCCAAACATCCCATCGTTCGAACCTGGGCCAAAATCGCGATGCCATATCTGGCCGCAACACCGAACGTCACAGATCGGGGAGGGAGAGGTGAACCGGTCCACCAGGCCACACGCGAACCGCGCTGGCTGGTTCGAAGCGGTCCCGATCAGGACCTCCAGATCTGAGTGTGTCGTCCAGGAGATCTGAGATCAAGGACGTCGTGTCCCCGGTTGGGCGGCCCCGTTTCTGATCACCCGCAACTACAACGAGGGCTGGTCACAGGTCGCTCCTCTCCTTTCACCATCCAGAGACCCCATCTCCCAACACCCGCGCCCTTCCTCTCTCGAAGAAATCCTTCGAAATAATACAACGACTTTGCCAAGTCCCCTTTGCGCGTCCAGCCCCCGTTGTCTCAAAGCATCCAAGCACCCAAGCAACCTACCGCCCGACGCGTGTCGGACTTGGAAGACATACCTTGCCCCTTGCACGACACAGGACACTGGCACCGTCAATCATACCGAACGTGCAGGGTACGCTCTAGCCGCCTGGACCTGCACTGCACTGCACCGGGGCCACTAAGCAAGTCTCTTTCTTGTTCTTCGATACTCTTCGATTCCTTCTTTCATGATCACCGTCATCGCCGACACCGAATCTAGCACCAATACTACTCTACTCGCTACTTGTTATCTACCCGACGAAGATCGAGGAACCCACGCAGTCGCGCACGGAAGGGCTCGAGAGTCGAGGGACGCGTCTGTCTGTCTGGATCTGTCATTATCTTCATCCTCATCTTCCTCATCTTCGTCCCTACGATCGCACGACGAGTAATCATGAAGGCACTCCCAGCGTCAGGATGAACACTTTCCCCCTTCGTCAGCCGCTCGACGTCCATTCGCTGGCGCCCACCCAGCCACGTCCTCGCATCTTCTTTGTGTGGCCCGGCTTTCGCATACCCCAGCTTTTCGTGGCACCGCACCATTGTCTATCGGGTGGCCTAATACCTTACGCGACTTCGACCTCAGGTAACACCGTAACAGGCCCCTCACTGGATATAGGTTCACGCTCAGTGATCAACGTACAATGTCTGGGGTTCTGGCCCACTGGCTTTCGACATCATTGTTCGTGCTCGTAACTTGAGTTTCGCAGATCCCTGCGTAAGGCCTTCTTTACATACTCTACAATGGCGCCACATATTGCCCTACGTACTGCGAACTTACCAGTCGTCCTCTTCATCTCGTGGCGGTGGTGCTGGCAGTGGTTGTGGCGGTGGTGTCGGTCTGGACTCCAGATGCCCAACCTCGTTCTACGATTCTCTGGTTCTATGGCTCTATCCATTATTCTACGGTTCTATGATCTATGCTCTACGGTTCCATTATCCTTCTACGTGGCCTGTGGCCTCTGACCTCTGACTTCCTCTATCATCAGAAGTTAGAACTCCCTGACCAGCTAGCTGCGTTCCTAAATCGTCCAAAGCCTAAATACTAGTGCATTTTCGCCCACTTCGAAGCTCTGAATTCCATGGGCCACTTTTTTGTGGTTTTCTTCATCGGTCTTTCATCATTGCCGGCCTTTCGTCATCCTCCTCATCATGCTCCCTTTCACCCCTTCATCCGGACCGCTTTCAGCCTATCTTATCCCTTTCAGGTTCTTTTCAGCCTATCATCTGCCTTTCAGGTTCTTTTCAGCATCATGGATTTACCAGCCTATCATCGTCAGTCGCCCTTTCGCGGCCTCTCCAATCTCACGATGCTCGATTATCGGTTCATTCACCCCGTCATCGTTCTTTTATCCTATCATTAAGCAGAATCAGGGATCTTCGGGACTGTCAACCATGTTATCTAATCAAGCACGCACGCACGCACGCACGCATGTCTGTCTGTCTGTCAGGACTCTGCGTGTAAATTACCCCGGCGTCGAGCCTGAGTTGCTTATGTTGCTTATGTTAGGGCCTCGAACCACGTTATTACTCGAAAGGATGAAAGGAAAGGAAAGGTTTTACCCCCTCCGAGGTCCAATGGGCTAGTGCCTTCAGCTCAGTGCGTGCCTTCATATTGTCGCGTGCCTTCGTGCACCTCCGGCCTTTCAGTGGGTTCCGCCCAGCCTAACTTTCCTGAGTCTTGAACAACTCCTGAGCCCTGACCCTAGAGTACGAGTCCCGGGGGTTTATTTACATAGTCGGTTTTCTTCGAGTACATGTTCATTAGAGTATCTTTCACGTTCTTTCATTATTCAACCCACATTACTCACTTGTCCTCTGGGTATACACTATTCTTCAGCCCCATTCGCATTTTACCCACCGAAGACATGGTTTTTTTCACGAGATAATCGACCCAACGTCCAATCAACTTCTTCCGTCGAATCCTTCCCCGCACACCCCCGCCTCGTCTCGCGTTTTGGATCTCGCGAAATCTCGCCATATGTATCTGACTAACCCGGAATATGTGGATTACGAATCTCTTACTTATCTCGTTGCTTGTTCGAACTCGGCTGTGGGTCCGCGACCCTTCGAACCTCGACGTCGACGTTAACGGCACCCTGAAGGGCCTCGCATTTCCTTACGTTACATACGCGTACGCGTTCACTGGTACACTTTATCTCGTTAACTCCATAACCTCTAAGTTGACATTATATACCCGTAAGTTAAATATACGTAGTGTTCAAGTATTTCCTTCTAAATCCCTTCGACTTCGACTGAGGGTGCTTACTTCGTTGCGTGCCTCGCGCATCGCTCGGTCGGAGGTGGTTTATGTCCGTTGGGATTCTTCGCGATTGGAATTTGGAAGGTGCGAGGAAGACCACTTAAGGTCAGAAAGTGTTGAAGAGGAGATAGAAGCTTGAGGAGAAAGCCGAAGGCGGAAACAAATGATGTTTAATGAGGAAGGAGGGGAGAGGACGGGATAGTAGCCGGGACACAATTATTAGTGACAGGACTCACTGGGGATTTAACGCGCTTGACTGACATACATATATACCCGAACCCACCGAACCCACCGAAATCAAGGAACTTCAGGAAGGCGTTTTTTTTCACGAGATAACCAACATGAAGGAAGGCAGGGAGTGGTATTATGGAATACTGGAATATGCCTCCCACCTGCCATCTCCTCGTTGTGGGTCCCAGGTGGGCTTCGCGAACCCTTTGACCCCTATCGCATGTTGCCAGTTTGGTAGTAATATTTCGCATGTCAGGGCTTTGGAGTACACTGTGTCGCCTTGGACTCGGCCGATAGATATTACTTACGGTTGTGATACCCACTCGAAGAGAGGAGTTTCTGTCAGGTATGTACTTATTAATAATTGTTGCTTGACCATTCGTTGGTGGCACACGACTTCGGTTTTTGGAAGGTGAAGTGGAAGAAAAAGGCTGAACAAGAACACGACAAGGGAAAGGTGAAGTGAAGCGAAGCTAGAAGCCAACGCAGGACGGGGAAAGCCGAAGTCAAAGTTGGGTACGAAGGAACGTTCATAAAGAAAATGAGCATGGACATGAGGGAACGAGGAAAGAAAGAAGGGACGAGGGATAGTAGCCGGGACGTTGACAGGACCCGTTTCGTTCGCATTTCTCATTCATTCTCACTCGGGATTCACGCTTGCAACTGACATACCCGAAATGAACGTTTTCGTTGTTTATTCTCTCCACTCTTCCCTGGACAAGCAGACCCTTCATGTTTCGAAGTCGCGGATCTACGCATCCCATGAGACCGGAGTGAAACTCCTCTCGCCTTACACACGAGAGCCCTTCGCGTTCGCGTTCGGCCGAGGTGCGACGTACCGTAGGACGCCCCACAGCCTCAGGATCTCTCATCTCTCAGCTCTTAGCCGATGCAAGTAACTATTTATTCCCCACCTCCCTACAAGCTGATCTCCCACTGGTACTGAACTCAATTCAGTAGGTTTTCAATGTCCCCTCCTCGCTTGACTTGGGTGACACAGAAGCCCTCGGGATATCCCGTGCGAAGGGTCCATTCAGACGTTGAGTGGGAGCAAGGAACCCGGAGAACGCCAGAGAGAAGCACACATTGCCACTGGACGTCTGGACGTGCGTGGGAGCGCTGGGAGCGTGGCGCACGGTGTACGAGAGGCGTTACGGCATCACCAAGAACAAGGAGAGCCGAAACGTTGACTGCGTGTGGTGCGGTCTGTAGTGTAGGTATGTTGGTTTGTAGGGATGATGTAGCGGGTATTCATTGTATGCATGCCCTGAAGGAGACGGGGGATTGTATTACAAGGGTGGTTTTGAATAAAGTTCAATGGACGAGTGGATTTTGGGAATTCTTAGTAGCCGAGTGATTGGACGCGAGCCTCTTTGAGAAGGACCATGGACAACGCGGTGCGCGCGTGTGCGGGTGTGTAATGCGATTTGTAAAAATATGAAGCACACGGCGACGGCTAGCGAGCGCGGCGGGCAGTCGTGAGCGGGTTAGTCATACATACTATAGGTCCGTTGGAATAGTAAGAATAAACGTGACGCCATTGGGCTTCTTACGAGAGGCGACATGCAACGTCTATACAATTTATAAAAGGCCCACCCGCCGTGCAACTCGGAATTCGAGATTTCGGAGAAGACGGGAACGGAGGAAGGAATGTTGGTTACTCCGAAGGGGAGTGGTCCGCCTTCCGGATACTAAGCCCATGGTGAGCGGTCAGTAGGTCCAGTTCGAAAGTCTGAATAGAGTACTTACGAGTCCGACGCTCGTATGTACATCACTTGTATATCCCAGCAAATACAATAGACACTATAGAGGACGCTGTCAGACAGTTGTAAAGTCTCGGTGTCGGTGTG